GGTCTACCAAATTAATTGCTATTCGGTGGGAAGAAACTCATTTTTCAGTTTCCATTTTAATTTCCTGACAAATAGAGCGATCATCCCAGCATTTTTTCTATGATCTATGTGTCGCCATAGCAACTTCTGTTTTAGAGAACAATAAAACAATAGAAAAGATTACTTTACCATAATTCTAATCATCCTACATTGTAGACATATTTAGAATTAAAAATATGAAGAGAATGACAAAACCTCTTAAAACACATTTCTTAGGAAACAAATAGTGTGGTATTCTTGTTACTATGGCAACAGAGTTTTTTCTTTTTGTCATACAGATTACCTATCATACCAGGACCAAATCCTGAAAATTTGAATTCAGTATCTTCATTAGTATCTTAGATATATAGGTTTCTTATAGTATCCCCTGCAGATTTCATCGGAGTATAAGGAAAATGCTCTGAAGAGGGATGCCCAAGAATGCCACTTAACAGTTCTGGTATTTTTGAGGTCCCAACCCTCTATTCATGGGAATAGTTAACCATTGTAAAGCTACTCATGGTTAACTGACAGAATTGATTGTATCTTCAACTAAGAAGTCAATAAAATGTTAAAACCAGAAGAAAACCACACCAACTTTCTTCTATTTACCAGGGGTAGGGCACTATAAAGTCATATTAAAATTACAAAATAGTACTTCATCACTATAATAGATGTATTACAATATCACACATAGCTTGGGAATGTTGTTAGAATACTACTTTGAGCTGTTAAAGTTATCATATTTTGCTTGAAGCTACAAATATAAAATAAGCAAGAAAAAATGACAAAAATTGCATATTTTTTTCTAATAAATTGTATTTTTTCGAAACCAACAAAGATATCAACCTATAACTTAAGGATAGTATTCATCTCTGTACTAACAATGTATGCTGTAGAACTCAGAACAATAGTTTATATATCCTTTGAGTTATGAACTAATATTATAGTACCCCCTAAGATAATTTCCTAGGGGGGTAAAAACGCTAAAATTCAGTGTCGTGACCACCTCGTTGAGCTGTCATCTTTTAATATCTTTATCAGCATGAAAAACTGATCCAGAAAAAATAGGTCTGTTGCTTTTTCTAAAAAATGCCTCATAAACTTTTTCCCTTGAGATATTCTGAAATTGGAACCTGTCTAATAAGGCAATTGCCGTATTGATAGTACGCCAATAGTTTAATATTTATTTTTTATATATTTATTTTTTGCTAAAAACAATTCCTGATTTCGAGCTCGAATTTAATTATATAACATCCGTGGTAAGTACAGTTCTACAGTATTTTCGAAATAATGATTTTCAATTTAATGGCATACAACCTTTTGTTTTTCTATATCTGAAAATAAGTGGAACTTTAAAAGCTTCAGTCACATTTGTTCAATGCGACCACACGTCGATCGTATTTCCCTGAAATCAGTAAATTTCTGCGGCAAACATAGGAAACTACAGTCGACTTAAGGTCACTGCACCTTGCTGTCTACGTACACGACATATCCAGTTTTTATCAGGCGTAGAGTCGGAGTTATAACTTTTTCTTTCCTGTGGTCACTATAGATATCAACAAGCAGCAGCAAAACCGTAGGTCTCACGACGGCCGTACGTCGGGTTCACGGTCGACTTGCGGCTGCGCTTGGATTTCATAGGTTACAATTGACCTTTCCGAACCATAGAACCCCTTGTGGATGCCTTCAAGAAAAACTATGCACGTCGTAGTGCCGCCCTACGCTGATCGTGCGTCATCATTTATCAGCTGTACGGAAATCGTAGTTTTTCCTCATAATCAAGATACGCCGTACGGCTATCTTAGCAAATGTGACTGCTAAATTATTTGACTGCAGAAATACTTAGGCAACCGTAGAAATCCTGCTTACCACAGATTTGATAGACCGTACGGTCCCCGTAAAAATGTTTTAAAATTTAATTTTAAAATTTTAATTTCTTTGAATAAGCCTACCTGTGTTAAAGATAAACATAAATGCAATGAATATTAAAGTACGAACACGTACTTTTGTAATGAGACTAGCAAATTAAACCATTTCATTCTTGGAAATTCAAGATGGGTTGGTTGAATTAATTTTATTATGTTTTATTCAAATAGTTTGCATTCGCCTGATAGAATTAGCATTCTCTGTTCGCATTTAGCGCTAGACCTAATAAAAACGAATCCAAGATTGTTTCAAGTGTAAATAAAGAATAAATCTAACCCGCATTCCATGTCTAGATAGGTAAAAAGCAATTCCGAAAATGCTGGCGTTAATATTCTATTGAAATCGTTCTTTATTATGGGTGGTATATACGTATTCTTTTAGTTCCTTTGAAATGATTTCTTTGGTTTTGGAATGGCAACAACTCGGCATTCATTTTTTGATTCAAAAATGGCGCCACAAAACTTTTGGAATGCCAAGGCATCAATCTGGCATCAATGACGTCATAACAATGTCGTAAAGAACCACTTTACGGTTGAAATGGCAGCTCCGTGGTCCAGTTCATATGCAAAACCCGGGGCTCAATAACAATTAAAAGGATAATGATAGAACAATAAAACTAAGTTGGATTGAAAGATATATCTTTATTCTAACTTATTATCAAGTTAAAGGGACAAAACTTCGCATTCCCTTTAAAGCCCTTTCATGCACATTTCAACCACTCGCCCACCCTCATATGAAAATATACTATTTATACTATTGAAGTGAACTCTCTGTTTTTAAACGAAAAATCAATCAAAATTAAAGTTGCCATCATTGATTATATCTTCACATATTTTTGGCAGATAACTTCAAAGACAAATCGTTATAGGGGCCTAGCTAAGTTGAAGCCACACATCCGAAATACCGTCCTGGATTTCGTAATCATATAATTAGTTTCATCTTTCAAATGTTCGATTTGAACCTTAGGATAGCGACATTCTTTTGACCTTACTTTTCTCCCTGGACTTTTCTCTACTAATACCTTTTACGATTTTATGAGTTATCAATGATGAATTGAAAAAATATGTTTAGCATATTATAATGTCACATATGATGTGCAGGTTTATATAGAATACCACATTTTGCTGTAATGATACACATTTTCTATTTGACCTTAGCAACAAGTTGCAATTGAAGTGTAAAGTGACACGTCCCCTTCTTGAATTTCTAAGGGAAAGAAAAGAAAAAATCAGAAAAATAGATTTCGTATTTTTTATTGAAATGTATGCAATATATTCATCGTGGAAGATTTTTAGCCAGGCTATATACACCATGCATGCATGACCATTGGGATTAATTTTTTTAAAATATGACTGATTAATTAAAAACCAACTATTCCCTAATTTTTAAGAAAAATCGTGTAGTTTTAGGGAAAAATTATCACATATCTCTATCAAATTTTGTTAGATTAGACTTCAACTTTCAGGAATCTTGATACATCGTCACTTATTGATATATGATGTATTGTACAATGGTTCATCATAGTCCTGATCCTCAAATGTATATGCCCTGATGCCGGTGCAGTTTGGACACAAGAAGGGGACCCTAGTTCAACACGTTAAACTCAATACCATGGGCATAAGGCTATATTTTGATTTGGTACGCCCATTTGGGGATGTCTGATTGCTTTTGGGTCCGGTTGGGTATGCTCCTCCGGAATTTTTTTTCGAAATTTTTTTCGAAACTTTAAATCTTTCTATTCTGATAAAACTTTATATAATATACAAAGAATCATCAATTAATATGCAAACAAATGAATGCATTTTAACACATTTTTGGTTTTTCAAATTCATTTGGAACGCACGGGCGTACTGTGCGTAACAGGCACTACGGGCCCTATGCCCATTTTTCTTTATCAAATCTGAATTTTCTTGGAGCCGTTATTGAGTTAACTTCGCCCTTGCAATATGAGTATGAGTAGCAAACTATGGATCTATGTTTCCTCATGCAGTGCGACAGATACTTGACAACTTCATGCGAACACCTACCATCAATCGATTCATCGTAACATTTTGCTTTGAAATATTCAATTTTTTAAGGTTATTTTATTTCCATATATATAAAGTAATAACAACGCAATAATACATGAATATGGAGAAACAAGCCTACCTTTGCACATTTTTGGCTTGTGAAAACACATTTTATTTGATATTTACGTACAATAGTAGCCTAGTCACAATTTACATAAATGCGCCGTTCAGATGAGATCGGAAGATGAGTGATGGTGTTTTGATTGGCAAAGTACCGCTGTAGCTATGACACTGGTTCAGTCACAATATTTTGTTTGGATAAAATATGATGATAACTTTATAAGTATGGAGTTTAGCTTTACCAGGCTTGAGGCTATTCTAATCAATTCTTGAAATGTATTTTTCGAATATGGAAATTCGAACAAACGAATGTGGGTACTCTGAGCTGGCGGATCCAGAAGCTAACAATACAAGGGGGGCCAAAGTTCAAATCTAGGAATGAAAAGAATTAGCCTATGGGAAATCTCTGACAAATTTTGGGCCCCTAAATCCAAAATTGGGCTTTAGTTTTAAAAATTTGAGGCCCATTTCACTGGCGGATCTGGGGGGCGCCCTCCCCACTCCCGGGGTGGGACCGGTTTTTAAAGACCCGTTCAATGGACCTTTTTGGGCAAAAATGAGCCTCGTAAGCCTTATTTTCAATATTTGGCTAATTCATCATGAAAATGGGCTTAATATTTTCAAAATTTGGGCCTGCGTTTTGGTTTTAAGGCCCCGACGTTTCTTTCTGCGCAAGCGCGGAATTTTTTTTGGTTCCTGGATCCGCACCTGCTGCATTTTTTAAGTAGCCTAAGTTAGCCCCCTCCCCCTGGATCCGCCAGTGGGTAAGCAAGAGGGTAATATCTGTCTATCAAAACAAATCTCATCTTCAAAATTGATGTCATCTCACTCATTTGCACAGCCAATCAGGTCAGCGGAAATTATCGATTTTCTTTACTTTGTATAAAAGGTAAATTGCTACACTATCTCAAACATTAGCAACAGTGTCTTCCTACTTGGGGTGAACAGTTCAAGGTCAGCCTCGGTTTTACATCTTCTTAGAAGAAATACAAATTCGCAGAATATTCTCTGCTATTCTAAATAAATAGGAAGCATCTGTGGACAAATAAGGTAACTATGGACTTATTAGATTATGATATTTGATTGAAGTAGGTCTTTTTCTCTGAAAGCATATCACTGCATCACTGCAACGAGGAAGTAAAAAATATGGTCGAAAAGGGCACTTTCATTTCATTCTGACTTTCAATTTGAATTTCTGAATTCGGAAAACAGTATGCAATTTCGCCACTAGGCTAAGCTTATTTGACAGCAACTTTCAAACCAGCCCATGTTGTTCTGGTCTTGATCTGTATCCTAGAATCTACTTCCTAAAGCATCTCAAGTGGAACTGTAGGCTAGATCTAGCCAAGTGAAGTAAGATGGGTGAAGCAGATTCCAATAATTCAGTGGATTTCAAGTAATTTACTAAACTAAGCTTAGGAGATTAGATTTTTATGAGTCATAATAATTTCTAGGTAACACATTATTTTGTTGAAGTAATTGATTTAGATCTAGATCTAAGCTTAGACTATAATTGTTGTATTGTTTTTATTATCTCAATGATAATCATTTGATTCAGTAGACTAGTCTAGATTAGCCTAGATTAGAATTAGGCAGTAGTCTAAGCTTAGCTCTAGCCTCGAGGTGAAAAAAGAATTGATAGATTCGCTTTAGCATATTGATACAGCAAATACTCAGATGAGTCACAGTCTACCAAAAATGCCATGTCTAGTAGATGAACAAAAGGCAAGGTAAGATATTAGTCTATGTACATCATTAGGGCTAGTTAAGGTTCAGCTGGAAAATAACATTTTGGGAAAAAATTGCAATACCTGCACACATTATTGTCTGGTACAAAATAAAGCATGAAGGCATTAGTTAAGTTAGTTAAGTTTCCAGACAACACAGGACAGGAGCTACCATTGACCTGTTTCTAGGTTTTCTAAAAGTAGACACTGTAATGATACTTTCTTGAAAAAAGGATGGAAATACACACATGCCTTCATACTTAACTTTGTACCAGAAAATAACATGTGCAGGTATAGCAATTTTTTCACAAAATGTTATTTTCCAGCTGTATCTTAAACAAGTTAGAATGTACCACGATGGCAGATTTCGCAGCCCCAGCTGGCCATTTCAATTTATGCTTTTGACGCACGGAGTAATTGATAGATAGCGCTGTTTTTATAAAATCGATAATCACGTGATGTTAAACTGTACCAATTCGAGGAAAACTACGTCACAAATACGTAGGCGAAATGTACATGCAAATCTTAAAATCTGTACTGTACAGCCGAAAATACATTTTAATCCAGTCCAGCTGTTTGTTAGAGCATGAACTAGGCCTATACTGCAGTACTGTAAGTGTTAATTCATTTGTACTGATGAGGAAATCAAACTGGGCCATATGGGACAAAATCCCGGGATTAAATAATAAGTACGCCATCTTGTTTTTTAGCCCTCGCGTGATAGGGATATTTAGACTCTTGATCTCCCATAAAATTGTTAAGTGAGATAAATTAACAAAGTTGATTTTTTGATGAATCAAAGATCAAAAACAATTTCTGTGATTTTAATTTTTTAAATAAAACCATAAATTTCTCAAAAGAACATCATAAAAGCGAAGTATTACCCGCGTTATGCTACCTTATCTTTCACAGAATGTAACTTGAGAACGAAATGACGCCCGGAAAAACGGTAAAAAGCACAACAAACCTTGAAAAAAGTTGAATTCTGTACAGAAATCTTGCAAACGGAAGTCATTCTATGACAGAGTAATCACCGTTCCTACGGGGGCTAAATACTTGAAAATATGTTACAGCGACATCTATGAAATAGTATGAAAACCTTTTCATGCGGCCAGATCAGAGCACCAAATCGGACATCGTGGTACGGAGATTTGTCACATATCAAAATTACTTTCAGGCTTCACATCCTTGATTATTATATTATAAGCATGGGGCCAGTACGCCTGGTATGCACAGGTGTACCAGATGGATGCAAATACACCCAAATACAACCAAACTTCAACTGGATGCTAGTTTTTCACATCGCTTAACACGTGTTCCCATTGTGGTTACTACTCATAAAAATGTCCATGATAACATTCATGTTTCATGTAAAAAAGGCCTTATTATTACTAACTCACCGGGGCGTATCGAAAACCAAAACGCCCCGCAAAACCGTTAGTTTGAATTTCAAACCTAGCCTGTCTTTGGAAAACCAATGATTGTGAGTGTCACAGTACACCGTTTTCCTTCAAACTTGTTCCATTAAAACCTTCACAGAAACAGAAATACCTTTAACTCGAGACATTGCTTTTGTGTACAGAGTCACTCGTTTTAGCGGCGTTTTGGTCCCCAGATGTGAGAAGATGCAAATCTTCAGAGATTTCAACCAAAAGCCTCGATATACTGCCAGTTCTTTTATTATTCTCCCCTATATTTTGCACAAGGACTCCCATTACAACCCTCCATCTCTGCATCAACATATTTATTACATTAAATGCACCAATTTCCAAAAGTCCTACGCATCCATTTGAAATTCTAATATTTTACTCCAAATAAACTTTAAATATGTTTTCGCTAATTTTTCTATCAATTACCTTGCACTTGCATTGTCTCTTAAAGGTTACAAGCAGATAGTTACACGCAGGAAAACTTTTCGGTATAATGCGCGTCCGTCGGTATTACAGCATTCGGTGTAACACCTTTCAGTACAATGCGAGTCGGCATAAAAGGTTTCGGTATAATGTGCTGACCCCTATATGCTTTGTATTGGTATTTTGATATGTCTTTTATCCATCGGTAGAGCTGTTTTACTAAAAAATATTGAAACATATTACTCACACACTCGCTCAAATATGAAACAAAGTTTGATTTGCTTTAATATTGAACTAAGAAAAAAATAAATCACATAGAAAAAAAGCATTTGAAGTTCAGAGATCATTTGACATGCATACACATGCTAAACAAAGTGCATGTTTTTATTTACTTTTGATTTAAAAGGTGGCGACACTTCTATAAAAATGAATGTATCATGTAATACAAACAACTTCGCCATCTTTTAATGATATTGATAAAAACTTGATATATAAAGCTTGACAGATCGAAAATATTTTTTGATTATTCATTGTAAGCTTTGATGTGGACTGTTTGAGCTGTTGTTGGTGTCAAATGAAAGATAGGGTTCTTATCAATACATTGGACATTTTATAAAATTCAAATAAAAGTCTTAATTTTGCCCAAAGACATTGAAAATATGCGAAGTGGCCCTTATAATCAGTCTGTGAAGGTTTATAGGAACAGTCAACAGGAGGAGGGTTACCAAAACATACTGAAATCTACATCTGATGTTATTATAATTGATATTAACAGCTTGTATTTTATGATTAATATCAGATATCCAGATTATTGTTTTCACCAGATTTTACTTGATATTCTGTAGGAGTATATCTATGTAATTTCATTGCATAGATCATACAGAGCAAGACTCACAATTTAATTTTGGATTTATTATTAGTTGCATTGTTGCAATGTGTTTCAGATATAAACCATCATATTGAGCTGCTTGACGGAATACTTTTTACTGGGAGATAAGAATCTGATATAGCTAGGACGGAATTTCTTTTGCAAGGTTTCTGAGCCTAGATGGTGTATGCGTAATTATGATGAGACATCAGGTGTCTCATGCAGGTTGTCAGTCTTTCACAGATCCCTTAGTGAACACTGCACACCAGTCTAGGGACCATATGCAACAAAATGATATAATGTTTGGTGGATTTTACAGGGAACAGGTGCTTTCCACACGGACCTCTGAGATGTCTCTATGGGGCCGTGTCCAACAGCTTCCACCTGGTGGCGCTCACCAGCAGATGCGAAATGTTTACGGGACACATTTTCCAATGGAGGTCCGACACTACTTTGCTGAATGGATTGAACAGCAAGAATGGTAAATAATAATTTTGATTATTTTTTATCTCTTATTTCATCTGATTCTAGATCATATTATACAAAATAGATACATATACATGAACAATGTGCTGCTTATATGGCATAGTTTTAGTTACATACCTTGTAGTTGCAAATTATATTGTAAACATCTTCGATTGGATAAAGTCCTAGGTGTGTACCAATAGATATTAAACAGGGCATTTACTCTGTCTTGAAATTGACTTTACTTACTTAATTTAATGGAAATGTTATGTAAGTTATGTATCAAGTGATTCCAACATCTTTCTTCACCTCCTATGTTCTTGAGAATTCTTCCCCAGAATAGCCATTGAAATTGGAGGATGAAAGGTCTTTTCTTTTGCTTCTCATGCCTTTGCATTCATTTACTGAGAGAAATGAAATATGGAATTCAGAAGACCAATCAAGGGTGATTTTTTCATAATTTTGGTAACTGGAGGTAGTGGTGTGAAGTTGCAGAAAACCCATCTGACATTGTCTTTTTTTGTTCTTGCTACCATATGTTTGAAATGAAACATAAGCCAACCCTCATTGGAACAAAATGACATTTTTTCACAAATATATTTAGTTCTCTCAATATCTAAAATGGAAATCTGTTTCCCTAGTATAAAGGAATAAGTTAAATGGCGCACAGGATTGTTAGAAAAACCATCATTGTATAATATCAGATATCTTCAATATCATTAAAATCAACTTGAACTTGTTAACAAATAATTATCCCATTGAACGAAGTTCGGAGGGATATAGGGAACGCCTACGTCCGTCCGTCCGTACGTCCGTCCGTCCGTACGTACGTACGTACGTCCGTCCGTCCGGGCAATAACTCAAATACCGTTGGCCCGATTTTGTTCATATTTTGTACACATATACCCTATGGGGTAGAAGTTCTGCTCGAAAGCCGATTTTCAAAATGGCCGCTCATTTAAAAATGGCGGCCATTTTAGTGCCGATTTTACAGTAATTTAGGTGCAATATGTAAAACTGTAATAGCAATATGTTTTAAATGTAAAGAAATTATTTAGGACTTTGATAAAGCTAAAAATGTAGATATTAAAGAAGCACATGGCAGCCATCTTGAAAAATGGCGGCCTTTACTCGTTATTTTACGATTTTTGCTGAAACTCAAGAAGTAGTGGATCGATTTTGTTCATATTTGGTATGTGAATACTATAAGCATGACTCACTGTCTAATGACATTTTTGGTAGGAGGCTGCCATTTTGAAAAATGGTCGTCATTTTAACTTATTTTTCTATAACCCGAAAAGTAGTGGAGCGATTTTGTTCATATTTGGTATGTGAATACTATAAGCATGGCACACTGTCTAATGACACTTTTGGTAGAAGGCAGCCATTTTGAAAAATGGTCGTCATTTTAACTTATTTTTCTATAACCCTAAAAGTAGTGGAGCGATTTTGTTCATATTTGGTATGTGAATACTATAAGCATGATACCCTGTCTAATGACACTTTTGGTAGAAGGCTGCCATTTTGAAAAACGGCTGCCATTTAAACGTAATTTACTCGGCCTTTACTCGCTATTTAACGATTTTTGCTGTAACTTGAAAAGTAGTAGAGTGATTTTGTTCATATTTGGTATGTGAATACTATGAGCATGGCACACTGTTTAATGACACTTTTGGTAGAAGGCGGCCATTTTGAAAAATGGCCACCATTTTGAAGTATTTTACCATTACTTGAAAAGTAGTGGAGCAATTTTGTTCATATTTGGTATGTGAATACTATAAAAAAAAGCATATTACTTCTTCTGATGACAACTTGGCTAGTGAGCAACCATTTTGAAAATGGTGGCCTTTCTTATGTGTGTTATTTTATGATATTTGCTATATATTTTGTTTGTAAAAATAGCAGTCATTTCTGTTCGATGGGATTCCATACGCTTTGGCGTTGACGTTGTTCTGGTTGCAATGTATAAGATTTACCTGAGGTGATATCTGAATCCATAACATATTACTTTTTTATGAGATTCATAATACATAATGCATTTTTATTTACTAAAAGCTTGTGGTGTCTATATTTGATTGAACATCTTTGCCAGGGGTTACCAATTGTAAAGATGTTTTATAGATGCATCTATAAAAGAGCGCTTAACCTACTCTCTTTCAATAATAATTCTTTGATCTATTCTTTCCAATCAAATGCCTTTGAATTTGTCAATAGTGCGTGTCACTTTAGCTCGTGTAAAATACTTTAGAGTGATAAAAAGGGGTCTCCATGTTTTTTCACCAGACCATCACTATCAATTTTAGCAATTTTAACACTTCTAAACATTGGTTGCATAGTTGATACATTGAGAAGTCATGGGAATTCCAATCCAACAGTAATCACCATAGGAACATTATAGGCATCTTCGGATATTGGGCAATATTGGTGACCATGGCAACAAATAAAGGGGATTTGCATTTAGATAAGTTTTCACTCTTTGAGATGGCATGCAACCATGTCATGACATTTTGTCATGTAAATTAAATATGTCATTGCTGAGATGTTATTGAATTGATGATGTCATTGGTAACATCAGTAACTGACAACAGTTTTATCATTGTTGACGTCTGATTGCTTCAAAAATTATTCCACTCCCATCTTACACCTAATATTTCAAAATCTCTAATTTGAAATTCGTTGAAATTAATCTCTGGGCCACCCATTCCTTAATCATGATGAGTGGGGTTCTCTTTTTGTTAAATTTACATGCAGATTAATTTGCACCTAATTCAGTAATTGACTTAATTATCATTGTATATACATTTCCTTCAGATAATGAATGGATCTTAAAGATATGCCTATATTCGTGGTCAGAATAGCGTTGTAATCCAAGATATAACCGTCTAAAATTGTTTGCAATAACCTATATGTCTTGCAAAATTCTGCCGCAATATTAACTTTTAATGTCAATTAAGTTGGCATTTGTTTTTTTCACTCGTTTGTCCATATGAGCTAAATCTCAGCATGATCAAATATTGATCATAAAAGACCTTCCTTCCTTTCTTTTTTAAATTGTTATATGTAATCCAGTTCATTCTGACACTAATCTTATTTAATTGAAGATTTGAATTTTAAAAATACACTTCCATTATAAAATATTGATTCTAAAAGATATACCTTTAAATTGCATCATTGTGAATTCATAACTTTTCAGAAAAAATACTATTAAAAATTGAATCAAATGCCCAATTAGTATAACTATAATGTTTGGATGAAATGATTTTGCTTTTAGACACCACATGAGCTCTAGTTACAGATACGAACAGAACTAATCACTACATATATGAACACAGTAAATGGTTGAATCCATCTAATTTAATTTGTTTGCGATAACCTGTGTGGCATTTTGTCTTGCTTATGTTGCAAGATTATCTTTTAACGTAAAGTTGGCACCCCTCGAACCCCCGCTGGCTACGGGCATGCCTACAGACCTACGATAAAAACAAAATTTGAAACCATATTATCTGTAATACAGTACCAGAGGTGACATTTCTCAATATCAATGCAATTTTATGTAGAATGGCTCAATGCTAACCTTTCCTATTTTTATGATGTCAAAGTCACAAACTCATTGCTTGATCTAAACAAAAGTTTTTTGTCATAATTTCTAGTTATACATCCAGTATTCATATTAAAAGGTACATGCAGCAAGGTCTGCAGAAAGAATAATTTTACCTTTTTGAGCTATCGGCATGACGTTTAGTTTAACATTTTTCGAATTATCGATGTCAGAAAACCTGTTAGATATAATGGACTACACATTTATTATCCCATCGAACAAAGAGGGATATAGAGAACGCCTCTGTCCATCCGTCCGTCTGTCTATCTGTACATTGATTTTTGATATATGCTGACAGAGTTTCTTTCCTACATGTATATCCTTGAGATGTTAATTTTTTCCCTAAGGACTTGATCAGACAGACGGATGGACATCTTTCCCCCACTTCCTTTGTTGGGATAATTATTAGTTGTTGAGAATTGGATCAGTGAATTTTATTACATTTAAGTCAGTCCCACTGACTTATTATACAATAAAAATAAATCAATTATTTCAAAAATTCTAATGAATTACATCACTACCTGTCTCGCTTTTCGGGACCAAATAGTCTCTTTGACACCCTTTACGAGAAATGGGCTGTGTATCCTTGGCTTTAATCAATGCCCTCCAGTATGCAAAAATGCAGAGAGCAACTGACAAAACATAATGTCATTTGATTTATTAGGATAGAAAATAATTCTATTCAATTACTCGATTTCAGCTCTGTATAATACAGCACTTTGTATACATTAAGCCGTTCACTTGATTGTTTGTTAACATGCAGATTATTGTTAAAGTTGACAGCAAGTAGATTATTACATGATATAGGGACATTGGCAGGGATTGGATAATGCAATATATGACGAATAATTTTTTTTCAGTTATTGCTTAAAGAGCATAAATGTGAAATTGTTGATGTATTTTGCAATGGACACAATAAAAACCTAGGTCATATATTTGCCATAAATAATAGACACGCTGGACTTTGTTATGATTCTCATATGATAAACAAGGCATTAACATGCAAAATTTTACCACCTGCCATTTGTTAATGATGCCAAACACCAAATGCCAAACACCATCTTCAAAAAGTTTAGGTCACCACTTTGATGGTGATATAACAACAAACCAGCCAGAAAAACAAATATTCATGCTATTTTCAATATGGGGTTTAGAATGAAATTTAAGTCATATATACCTAATATATGTTTATCTTTCTTTTTTGTCTTATTATTATGACCTCACACATCACAAGAGAGTGACTTTTATGCTTTTGGGTGGATTGAATGAATGTGAAAAGCAGGTCCATTTTAATCTTCATTAAATGTGGCAAAATTGTCAATTTCATCAATAATGTTGCTCTTTAACTGGCTTAGAACTAATCAAGGAAAGAGAGTGTTTCAAATCAAGATACTTGCGGGCATGAGTACATTGTCAATTGCAAACAGATTTGACATGTGATTACTTTGCGGATCATCAATTGTCACTAAGCTATTAACCACAGGATGTTGAAACTGCTTTGCTATTAATTATCCAGAACTTGGATTTGATGCAAATGTGTCCATTGTCTGTTATTCACTCATTCCAAGACTTATAGCTTACTCAATAGGCTTGCCTTAAGTCTCTGCCCCCCCCCCCCTTTCCGTTCTTCAACATCTTGTGGGGAGGTGGGGAGTAGGGTGTCACAAGGGCTTTAGCAAGACTACTTACTCGAGTCTAACCAACAAACTAGAGATTTGTCTTATTATTTTGTCAGCCAGAAATCACTACATGTACATGGTTCAATAGTGATGAGTTCTCTTTTTGAATATCATTGAAAGACATTTGTGAGAATGGTGATTTTAATGAAATTGAAATAGAATACATGTATGATATGTCATATACATGTAAGTAATACCCACATTAGTATTCTGATAAACATCCCATTCCTTTCTTATAACTATAGATATTCATAGGAATTATCATGGTATACTACAGCACAGATGTATAAATGTCTGAAATTCTATACAAAACAACCATTATCGTTTTGTATCTCATTTCTCTATTATTTATATTCTAATTTATATATTGCTATTGTACAAGGGGTGATCAATAAGTAATGGACGCTTTTTTACACAGATACTTTTTATAGACCAATCCCTTTGATTTTCCTACCAGTGATACGTCATTCAATTATCTTTCAATTCTGAAGATTTGAAGACAAAATATATAATATATGTTGATATATCCTTATTTCCGTGAAGGAGGTACAGGTACCCCGGGACCGACATTTACGTCACATATTCAGTTTTTAGCCAGTTTGGCAAATTTCAGTTAGATTTGAACTTTTTATATGCAACAAGTGTTGTGTTGTTTGACATTTTTTGCTGACTGGTAACACATAAACAGAAAGTATTGTGATGTCAGAGTGTTGTATGGAAGGGGTTTGCAGGTCAATTTGAGAAAGCATTGTGGAAGAAAGGGGTGGTGAGAGAAGGGAACACCCTACTCCATATGGACAATGCACCTGCCCACAGATCTCAAAATGTTCAGAAAACAATATCCCTGGACCTCAAATTTGAGCTCTTGGTCAATGCACCATATTGTGCAGATCTGCTCACATGTGATTTATTTATTTCTATACTACTTATTTCTATAGAGAAAGGATGCAGGTTTATTGTCATTGATGAAATAAAACAACCCGTGCAACTGCATCTTGCTACCATGTCAGAGAATGGATTCAGCCTTGTCTCACAATCTTGAGTTAAGAGGATGAGTAATTGTGTACATGTAGCACTTGATGGAACCTATGTAGAGGGACCTGTGGAATGAATGTGGCATGAATACCACATAGTGATGATAAAATATTCAAAATCAACTATGACATAACAAAATGGGGTAATTCATGACCATAATGGTTTGTTTTGTTCAGCCTGCATTCAACTGCATTGCATGTTAAACAAGCTAAAATAGCTTCAGAATGTTTGACGTAACTGTCGGTCCCGGGGTACCTACACATCCTTCACGGAAATAAAGATATATCAAAATATATTACATGTTTTGTTTTCAAATCTTCAGAGTTGATAGATAATTGAATGACGTATCATTGGTAAAAAAATCAAAGGGATTGGTCTATAAAAAGCATCTGTGTGAAAAAGCGTCCATTACTTATTGATCACCCCTCGTATAATGATACTATAAAACTTTAAGCATAGCCATTAACACATGTATGCTTGTTATATTCTTTGTACCACAGGTAGGAATCAAACAGCACCCATCGCTGTTATCAGTACATTTCACCACACGATCCAGTAAAAAATCAACAGATTTTGGCAAAACAAAGGCTCTATTTTCTTGATAGTATATTCTCTAGCTTCTTTTTAGTATATGTCTGGGTTGTTTGTAAGACTGGACACATTTTCAGGGGCGTCAGAAGGATTTGCCAGGGGAGGGGGCGACTTTTGGATATGGGGGGCATGCCCCCAGAAAATTTTTCAAATTTAGACCTTCTCTTGTGCATTCTGAACATATCTCAGCACAACGTTCCCAAAAACAAAAACAAGAAAAAAGTGTTTTTAGGAAACTAGCTTGACTTTGACTCTAAAAAACTTTGAATTTCACTAAAATATACATTTTGCACTTATTCTTCAAAGTATTTACATGGGTTTCTGAGAAACTATGGTATAGAATTAAGTATAATATGAGAAATGAGATCTTCTATGCTTGATGTAGACTAGATAACGACAAAGTATCATTTTGACTTTAATTAGCTTTAAAGAGCTTTCAATTCGAGGCTCGGTTTCTGGGAAAGGGGGGGGGTGGTCGCCCCCAACGCCCTCCCCCTTCTGACGCCAATGCATTTTTGGGATTTATGGTCATTTTTCTTCACACCTCGTCCAATGTAAAATGTAATTGTTTTTACTGTTAAAATGACCAAAAGTAATATCCAGTACATGCACTTATAAGCTGCAGAAATGTTACAAATAAACTGTGGTGCTTCTTGTGAGGTTGTGTTTATCTTCAAATGGTTTGAAGTATTATATGAATGAAGCCAAGGATATTATATTATCTTGCATTCATAGCAGTCTTTTAATCAAATATGATATGGGGGCAGTAATACAACTCAGATTTTACCACAGAGTGTGATTCTTTTACTGGATAAGTGCAGTTAAATGTACGAATAAAGCAGATTTTACCGGAATATTAGGATTGCCTACCTTAGTGGTAACAGATTTTCACAAGATATATAGTATCCTATATGAGGTTCAGGATGTAGGGATTATCCTGAGGCCAATATAATATATCTGCTTGAGGGGCATAGGTTCCGAGGGTAGATACATGTATATTATATTGGCCAAGAGATAATCCCGATATCCTGAACTGAATCTTTGATTATAAACAGGGATATGTATGCTCCTTCCCTTCTTTAAACCATCAAACAGATAGCAATTGTCTGCGTTTTTTTCTCCATTGACGTTAACAGTAATTATGCGAATGTTACATAAATGAACCAATATGCGAACAGAGATTAGTATGGGATAGATAGAGATTTTCCTATATGAGATTTAGGATATTGGGATTATCCCAAGTCCACTATAATATATCTGCCCGAGGGCCGTAGGTCCCGAGGGTAGATATATTATGTTGGCCAAGAGATAATCCCAATATCCTGAATTGACTACTAGTACAGAAATATTAATTATATATTAATTAAAAACTATTTGCAGGCAGAACATTGATGAAGATGACCCCAAGTATGAAGAATATGCCAAGCAGCTACTTGAACAACTCACCATGAAGATAGAGGAAAAGGCTGCAGAGTTTGCAGGATCAGATATGTACCCCATCAAGCTGAAGCTCAATGAAATAGCCAGCACATTTAGGGTAGGTTCATTGTTCAGTGTAATAAGCACCACTTTTAGGGTAGTTTCAACATAATAGAAAGCACATTTAGGGTAGGTTTACAAAAGTCAAAAGAAGTTTTCTAATACAAAAACTATATCTTCATGCACATCCAATTGAATGGTTACTTGTGTAAATACACAAATTGACATGAGATTTTACTGTTTGAGCCTACTATACAAAATGCTGCCATTTTTATTTTTTCCTTTTTGTGTTTTTTCACTGCTCTATAAACAGTGTTGACAGTAAAAAAGTGAAAGTGAAACTTGATAAGTTTATACAAACACTTTATTCATTTCTTCAGAGAAATCAATTTATCCTATCGAGTCTTTCGATCTGTATCCACAAATCTTTTTCAAGATTGAAGTTTAATAAAATATAAAGTTTCATTTCTGGTACCTTTGACAGTGACAAGACACCATTGGTTCGTCAGCTGTTTTTATTCCATGGTTTAAACTCTCCATGTCTTTCATCCTCCCTTTGGTTGTGTCATTGCTACTTTAACCATGTTATACAAGGATTTATCATATTTATGTTGTAGGAGATGTATGGTCCAAATCCTCTTAACTTGGTCCAAGTTGTGAAGAAATGTCTCACAATGGAGTCAAGTCTGGTGCATCTTCATGAATCTGTAAGTATTTTATCACTTTAATTCATATCAGTTAAACTATAATTTATTTATAAAGTTTTTCCACTGAGAATGAAATATCTCTGTATCCAATTTCCAATTATTTAAGCAAAATATTCTAGGTGTTTCTATAGAATTAGCGTGCCATTATATGTATTAAAAATGAATACACACACTGTATACCCAAAAATATATAAGGTGATGTGAGTTTCAAATGGATGTAATAAAGGGTCTTGGAAGGAGTGTTTGAAGTTGCATTCATTTCTTCAGTCTTCACTTGTTCTTAAAGTTCAGAATTCCTGAGTCTATTTTCTCCTTACTATATAATTTCCATGGAAAAAAGATTGAATTTAGGAGGTTTTGTAAATTATAATGTTCTGGACGTGGTAATATAATTTTTGTATGTTAAGGGTCAATCTGGGGGCCAGCAAGATACAGCTAGGATTCTAGGCCAGCAGCTTGAACAACTTACCAAGTACACTCAAGATACTGACAAAGACCTCAGAGAATTGCAGAACAAACAGGAACAGTTCATCATACACTATCAAGAAAGTGTACGAATAAATAGTAGGTCATTTTTTTTTAAAATAAACCCGGGATATATGACCAGAAGAGGTCTTTTAGTTTAGAGTTAATTGATCTTCTTTTGCTTTGATAACTTAGAGATTTCTCGTCACCTCAGAAATGACCTTGAAACCCAGATTGACGAGAAAATCTGTCACAAAATTATACAGTAAAATTGCTCTTATTTGAACAATTTTCATCCAATTTACACAAAAATTGTTTTAAAATGTGAAGAAATGATTTTTGCTGTCTAATTTTACTAAGTTAGCATCTAAAGTTGTATAGGTATGTAGTAAAATGTCAAAAGGTGGCAATAATGAAAAATTCTCTGGTTTCAACAGATTTTAGAGCTTGGGATTCAAGAGGTTAAAATTGTCATGATCTGTGAATATGGGATAAGTTTTGTAATTTTCTGGTTATTATGTGTGGGATTTCCCATTTCTGCCTTGTTTTTCTCATCTAAGTAGAATAAATTCTGCGTATTTCAGCACAGTTATCCAACATTCCTGCAGGCCCCCAGAGACAAGAGATGGAGATCAGATTACGCAATGAGAAGAAGAAAATTGAGATTGACCTCAGCCGGATGGCACAAGAACTACTTAACCTGAGAATCGTAAGCATTATATTGGAAATTATGGATAACCTTTCAGGGTAATGTTCCCAGGGGAAATTAACCTGTCTCACTGTCTTGTTGCTTGCCTATTATAGCTGTAAAATGCACTTTATTGAATCAAGTATTCAAATGCTGTGGGGAGATTATATATACCTTGCTCAATTAGATCTCATTTTTGCAACATGAGCTACATTCAAGCGTTGTATCTTTGCATTATCAAGGACAGTTAGATTGTAATGTACCTTTCAGCTTGGAAATCAGATAGATAACGAATAAATTATTAAAATAGTCTTGACATTTGTTGGGAATATTTGATTCACTATAATGAGGTCTGGGAAAGTTTCGAGAAATGTCATTATTCAACCAAATGAATTCCAAGGGGGATATAGAGAGGCCGTTCGTCCATCTGTTCTTGTGTCCAGGCGATAACTCAAATTCCAGTTAACAGATTTGATTCAACTTTTATAGGGTCCTAGCCTTATGGGTCTAGGACTTTTGCTTGAGAAGGAATTTTCAATATGGCCACTGGATTATTTATCAAACCATGTTTTGTTCGGTGGGATTTGATATTCTGTGGAGTTGCTGTTTTCTAGTTTTTATGAGTGGGTTAATATCAATTATCACCATGAGTGAACACCATGAGCAACAGGTGTCCCTATTGATTGCCATAGAGTAAGTTAACATGATCTTTTGAAAATATATGATATTTTGATTATTTCCAATTTTAATTACTTTGAGTATTATTTCACATCATAAGGCATTATGAGACAAAATCTATGAACTGATACCTTAGGCATATGCATTGAGTAACTAACTACTGTACATGTAGCTATTATTAAATATTAATATATAATATAATATGTCTGTATGGTGCCGAAATTTGGGCGCCATATGCTTTCAATAATGTCTCAACTGACAACTTAGAAGATACATACCTCAAGCAATCTAAAATTTTGTCTGAGAAGTTAAACATATCTTTTTGTAAACATATTCTAGGTGTTGGGAAAAGGGCAACTAACATGGCTATTTATGGAGAACTTGGGAGGTATCCACTATTTATAAACATATTTGATAGAATTTGTAATTTTTATGCTCATATTCAGAACTCTGATAACCTGTTACTTAGTCAAGCATTTCACAACACAAAAATCAGAATTTCATGTCATGGTATGTTGTTCTTAAAATTGATTAAAATATTAATGAATACTGAAGAAATACTAGATATAACACCAGAAATATTATCTGAATGCAAGCAAAGTCTAAGGAGCCGATTTCATGAATACTGGAAGAATAAAATCTCTAATGATACACAAAAACGAAAGTGCAATAACAAATTAAGAACTTATGACACATTCAAAAAGTAACTTTGCTTATGAAAATTATTTAGATTATATAAAACGTTTTGACCTACGTAGAGAGTTTACTTAACTTAGAATAAGTGCACATAATCTCCAAATTGAACTCGGTCGCTACACAAGACCAAAACCGACACCTCTGGAGGAGAGAAAATGCGAAACATGCAATATTATAGAGAATGAAGAACACTATCTCCTTCACTGTGCGAAATATAATAAACAAAGAAGTATAATGTTGTCTAAAATGAAAATGCCAGTACAAGAAAATCCATTTATTTATTTGATGTCTGGTAAAGATCAAAACTGTATAAATGTAGCAAAATAGATATTCACATCCAGTACCAATAGCTATATCTCTAGTGCACCAATGCATCAGCATCATTAATAGTAATAGTTATGTAGTTATGTAAATGTCTTCTTTTTTCTTCCTTTATAATTGTTATATTTTTTGTTTGTACATGTACTTGACCCCAAGGGGTGTGAATGTACTTGAAGAATAAATATGTGAAATATGTGAAAATATATTAGATATTAAATCGATCCATTGCTACATGTTGTATCACACCTAACATGATGGTGTCAATGTTGATAGCCATCCAGGCCCTTATCCCTCCCCTGGCCAAAAATTCTTTCAAAACCATGCAGTCTTTCATCGTTTTGAGTGATTTTGATTTTTAAGTGATTTTGGCCATTTTTGGACCCAAATTGTGCCCCTGGAATTTTTCTAAAATATGAACCCCCTTGGCAAAAGCTGGCTATGGGCCCGTACTGATATTCAGAGCTGCATACAAACCCCCAAGTCTGCTCAGATCTACACAGCCGATCTGCACAGAACTGTACGATACCCTTTTGGTTACAGTACTGTACGGTACCATAAAATATGGTACCTTCAGTACCGTATACTTAAATGGTACCGTGAACAGTGTACAGCACCATACTCAAACGGTACCATACGGTACCATGATTTTACAGTGCAGATCGGGGATGTAAGTGCCTGTATTTGCACAATCATGAGATACAAATGTTTATCACATTTTAAACTATGATGATGTAATAGAGCTGAAGTTCTTGATGAGCCATTTGATATAAAACTGCTCTATTGTTCTCTCATTTGATTGTAACAGAACTATGGAATTGCCATTTTACTTGTTTGTGCTATAATATACATTGCACTTTACTTTGTCTGTGTGCTTGCAGGCCCTGGCAGACAAACATGAGGCAACATTCAAACAGCTCCAGCAAGTTCAGAACAAAGTCTTGGAAGAGGAACTGATTAAGTGGAAGAGACACCAACAGTTAGCAGGAAATGGGGCACCGTTTGATTGCAACTTGGACCAGCTTCAGTCCTGGTGAGTCTCACACAATACAGGTTGGGCAAACATGTTAGCGGGGAATGTTGCTTTGATTGCAACTCAGCTTGTTTTCGTGAATGGAAATAACGGCTACCGGCTACTGAGTTGATTGCAACTTGATGGCAAACTCATTTAAATATGAATAGTACCTGCTGTCCATCCTGGTAACTGCAAGTAAGATTGGCTCTATGAAATTTATAACATGGATAATTTTTGCGAAGTGCCGGTTCGTGCCCATGTGATTGTTTGAGCGATACTTTTTCTAACATTGTATGTTAAAGAAAATGTTTTTGCTTGAATTTATTTCACATTAAACACCGACTTTGAGGATCACATATAAAACAATATCATTTCATAAAATTTCTCTGCTGAATATTTCAGGTGTGAAAGTTTAGCTGATATAATCTGGTCTAACAGGCAACAGATCAAGCAAGTGGAATCACTCCGGGCGCATCTTCCTATAGATATACCACCACATGTACCAGACCTTCTGCCAAACCTCAACACAACCATTACAGGACTTCTCTCCTCCTTAGTGACAAGGTACACTAACTCTTATCATTCTTCTGTTAAAAATAGGCCTCTCTGCAGGTGTCTGCTGACAAGTATATTCATTTGAAACAGTACACTATTTCACAATGATTAAATGTTTCAAATGGCACCTTAGTATACTTGACTGTTATATTTGCAATGTAACTAGTGTGACAGACATAATAAGAAAATGGGTCAAATATCATTGTATCATTTTTTTCTAAATTAATATAATTAATTGAAATCTCACGGAAAAAGTTTCACAAAATTTTGAATATTTTCATCCATCTGTTTGTGAATCGTTTATGATTACAAATGCAAGTTTGGAATTTTTTGCTCTTTGTTTCCAAATTAGATAGTCTCTAACATATTGTAGTGATGATGAAGTATAAGCATCAGTTTCCGCTTCAAAGATTTTGGTTTTTGGGCACTATATAAATTTTGCAGTTGGACTTAGACAAACTTTTGTTTTATTTTATTCTATTGAATTCACCTATTGTATAATATGGGTTTTAATTATTCATGATATATTTGTAATTTCTACTTTTAAATTTGACCTATTTTTAGAAAAATTACCACTGAAATAAGACATTAAAAGAGGATAACCTGTGACTGAAAGAATAAGCATGACATAAGAAATCACCATATGAGCGCCCAAAATGGTGTAATTTGTTAATTTTATCTATTTGTTTTTGATTTATTTTTTGATATGTATAGTGATGATTGTTTTATTTAGGATATCTGTATTGAATATAAATCTAATTGTGTAATCAGGGAAAACCTTTTGTCACAGAATTAAAAATTTCTCCCAAAAATGCTAGTATGGTCTTGAAATAAGTCAATTGAAACATCATCTAGTTGACTACATTTATTTTTATTTGATCCATCCTGTGATTCATGTATGTCTAATGTGTTTTGCTTGCAGTACATTTATTATAGAGAAGCAACCACCCCAGGTACTCAAGAAAGAGAGCAGGTTTGGGTCAACAGTTCGGCTCCTGGTGGGCCGCAATCTCAACATGCACATGAACCCACCTACAGTAAAAGCATTAATTATTAAGTAAGTCCATCCATTGTGATGTCAATGCTATTATTTTATTATTCAATTTTCAGTACATTCATCATTGAAAAACAACCACCTCAAGTTTTGAAAACACAGGCCCGGTTTCAGTCAAACGTTCGTTTGCTGGTCGGGGGAAACCTTAATGTGCATATGAATCCACCAGCCGTAAAAGCCTCTATTATAAAGTAAGTTTAATGGAGTTCAACGTGAATATAGTTAAGTGAACTAGATAAGTCCTGGCTTTTATCCTTCAGAAGGTAACTCTGTTGCTTTAGATATGTATTCTGCCCTGCTTTGTGGTATCAGGGGGTGTTTCAGTCCCAGCAGCCTTTTGCGGTCTTTGTGAGGAAGGATACACTTATATTGGGCACCATGGTATTCCAGTCTGTGTGTTATGCTTCTATGAATTTCTGATTGTTTTGGATTTTGAAAAAAAAATGCTTTTAAAAGTCGCAAATTATGACTATAAGGTGCATGCTGTTATTCTACAATGGTGCATTGTACTCTGTACCATTGTGATTTGTTGTATTGTACTGTGTTGCATTTTATCTGTTGCATTATACAATATAATTCCAAACAACTTTCTTTCACTGCATAATGGTCTATGCCCTTTGAATGATATTTGTTGACAATTATTAATCAGTAAATAAAATGTGTGCTCAAACAACAACAAAAAACTTCTAAAATGATTGGAAATTCTGCCTTGTGATTGGCATAGATAATTGAAAGATTTTTGAAAATGCATAACTAAAAGCTGCCTGACTTTGTCATAGTATATGTATATGTAAAGGCTTGGGCCTAGGAGATGATGTTTTATGATGAATATTATTTTTCGAATCTTGACCTTTAAGTGAAAATAAGGAAATCATGTTCATGTAAATTTTTATGGCACTCATAATTTTAGGCCTCACCATCCACCTTACCCCTTAATGCCTTTTGTTCTATCCAGAAATTCCCCAACATATTACAATTGCTTGATAATATACAAGCAAGTCTTGTCTGAACAATTCAGTACATATAATATACCCCTCATTCTGTCTATAGGAAGCCTCAATTAATGCAAACTTCCAGGAATTTAAACCAGTCCATTCTGATTTAAGGAGTCTCTCTTTATTTAATGCTTGAGAGGGCATATGTTACTCCAAGAGACAGACTGTGGATCTCACTACAATACAGATGCATGTTGTTAAATTAATCATTGCAGAGGTCTTCTTTTGGGGTGTGCATTTGACTCTCTCTCTCCCCGATAGTGTTGATAAAAAAGTTCAGCTATCTGCTATTGTGTTCTGCATGCTGTTAAATGTTGGACAAGTAACACCTCTTATTCCATTATAACATATTTTCCCTGAAAAATTAAAAATGGTGAATATAATAAGTAACAGTTTTATCCTGATAAGCTGCGAAATGTCCTAAAAAATAACAATTTATCCTAATAGCGAGTAACAATTTATTCTCGCTAGTAAATTTATGGAGTTTTTTAACCAAAATGTTGTGACAGTTGTAATGTCTTGTATTGTAAATGTCTGGCATATGATACCAACATATTCATTTGACATTCTTTTTGAAGAATGACTTTTCTCATTTATCAATTCCATATTCCATATCAATTAAATATTAATTTGTGGAAAACATTAATCTGGTATAATCAGAAAGCAATAAGGTCAACATTTGAAAAAAGAGTGCATGAAAAGCCATGTCATGGAATGTTAATGAGTGTAATTACTTGGAATAAAAAATAACAATGGTGAGCATTAAAAGTTATTGATTTAAGGATTTGAGCCCTGGACTCACCTCATTGTGGACTGATCATTCTTGAAAAAGTTGTTTCTATCGGAGAATTAAGTGCTAAGTTTAGGAAACAACATCTGAGTGGAATGAATCAGCAACAATGCATTGAGTCATGGGCTTCAATTGTTTCCACACATTGCAAAATATTTTCAACGTAATCCCCTATAAGATACAAAATCACTAAAAGAACATATTTTTAATGAAACGTTTTGCAGCGGTCAAGTTGGCAAAGTATCAATTTCAATCTGAAGAGTCAAGTTGTCATCTTGAAACAACTCTTCAACAAATGACCTTGGATGGATTGTTGTTGGTTATATAATGCAATGTAGTTATATGAAATAGTGTGTTTGGATTGGTTGGAATCAGACACACCTTGCTTAACTGTATGTGTGAATATCTTACAAGGTGTTCCTCTCCAATTTAAGTTAATCATATACACAATTGGCTATGAATGTCTGAATGACAAGACAATTTTATGAAAGTTTAAATTTTACAAGGACACTCATACGACAAAAATGTTCATCTTACTGAAGTGTTCATCTTTAAAGAGTTCATTTAGCAAAAGTTATTGTGTTTTCTAATATAAACTAGCATTTATGTTTGACTGTAGTATTTAGGACATCAGACACTGAACTAATGCACAACTAATGCCAAAAATGTAATACAAGGTACCAAGTGTCATAACTAATAAACCATTTTAGAGATAATTCATCAAAACAGTTATGAATGCTGATATGTATGCATAGAGTTATGTGTTGTTGGTTTCAGTGAGGAACAGGCCAAGGCTCTCTTGAGGAATGATAGCAACATCAGTGGTGAAAATAGTGGTGAGATCCTAAACTCACAGGGCACCATGGAATATAATCAAGCAACCCAACAACTCAGCATTGCATTCAGAAACATGGTGGGTGTTTTGTCTTTTTGTTTGTCCATTTGAACACAAATCTGTGTTATAAATTCAAAAGTTAGTGGCCCAAATCCATCTATTCACCTTGCTGTCAAGTGGAAGATATTTGGAGTCTCATCTTTTTTATGTTACCAAAATCAGTGCAATCTGAAAAATTTTCTGGGTGTAAATTATGGATATCTACTAGCCTTTGGTCACTCATGAAGGTTGACCAGCATATATGATTACTTTTAAAGATCTGTTGTCTTAACACAAGTGATAATTGACCTCAACAAGATCCTGCACATTCTAATCCTTTGTGTTGTGTTGTGTATTTGTAGTCTCTACGTAGGATCAAGAGAGCAGATAGGCGAGGCACGGAGGCAGTCACTGAGGAGAAGTTCTCTATTCTATTCCAGTCTTCATTCACTGTTGGGGCTGGCGAACTAGTCTTCAAAGTCTGGGTAAGTCAAAACAAGATATCTCAATATGGAAACTAACTTGTAGGTGTTAAAATCGCAGGTAATGTTTGGCCTGTGGCACCAAATTTGCGTGTCTAGCATAGCACTGTCTACTCACCTGTTATAATGTTCTAGACTGATTCTTATCACGTATACAACTATGAACAACTTACTTATACTGTATGTGAGATTATAGTCAACTTGGTAGCAAAAACTCATATTCTACCCATCTTAGATTTTACTGGTGATATTATGAATTAATCATGATTATTGTTTGCAGACACTGTCTTTACCTGTTGCTGTCATTGTACATGGTAATCAAGAGTGTAACGCCATGGCAACCGTTCTCTGGGACAACGCCTTTGCAGAACCAGTAAGTAATTCTCTTAGAAGTAATCATATTTTGACCTCACAACTGTGAGCTATTGTAATTGCTGACTTGTCTGTCTGTCTGTCTGTCAGCACATTGGTAGCAAATTCAAAATCCTCCATGACAATTGAAATGGTTTCACTTATAAAATGTTTCAATATAAAGTATTCAAGTCTCTTAAGTGGCATCTCAAAAGCTCTCCTTGTATCTATATGGCCGACACTTTTATTGCAGAAAAAATATTCAATGTATTGAAACCTTCCCATGGGAGCCCAGTACCCATGGTACTATTTATTTGTTTATGTGAGTCAGAAAAGGTTTTGTTATTTTGGCTTGTACAGAATATTTTGAGCAAAATATTAGTATGGTTACAAAGCATTTATGAATCTGGAAATACAGTATCACATTTATGGAACCAGGTCACAATTCTTCATGCTAAAAACATTGAGCACACACGAGCAATGTACATTTTGAGCTATTGTGAATGCTACTTAAAATGTATACTATTCTATTGTAGGGCAGAATTCCATTTGCTGTTCCTGAGAAAGTTAAATATAGCCAACTGACCCAGATGATTAACACAAAGTTTACATCCCAAACAGGAAGTCCTATCACGCCAGAAGGTTTCCATTACTTGGCGCAAAAGCTTCTTCCGGGGGTGCATGTGGACGACTACTCAAATCAGCTAATCAGCTGGTCTCAATTCAATAAGGTATGCAGATCTACATTTTGTAGGGATGAAAGAAGGAATAGATGTCAGTTAGCATTGTCTTCTGATCATTCACTCTAAATAAGAAGTGGGACTCTCCTCTTCATGTTGGTGAGTGAAAAATCTCATCAACTTATGAAAATGATATTTTCCCATGCCCTAATTAAATGATATTAACTTATTTCTAAACAGCTGACATCATCCCTAAGTTGTTTCAGTCTTCCTTCTAGATGTTCCCCTACATGTTTTGTATTAGGGATTAATGATGTGCTATATTACAGGAACAAGTCCCAACAAAGGCTTTCACCTTCTGGGAATGGATCTATAACATCATCAAACTAACCAAGGAGTACCTCAAGGGACCTTGGAACGATAAGTGAGTTTGCTAGTCTTTCTCTTTTACACTCTACATATGTATGGTAGTCTTTTTATAAGGTATAGATATAAAAGTGCATCTTAAAGTTTTTTTCTTCCAAGGATTGCATTGTAAAATTAGAAGCTTTATGAATGGCTCTTACCAATTTCAGTTTGTGATCATTCATTCAGTTCACAACTCGATGTGTAAGAAAACAAATTGTTGATATATTTATAAAATTTGGTTAAGTTGTTATAATAAAGAAGGAATGTAGGACAAAAAATCATCATCTGGAAAATGTTACAAACAAATGCTAGTCCCTCAAAAGCTATATCAATATACATATCGCCACTTCTTGGGACTGACAAAAAATTGATTGTTTTTGTGGAAATCAGTACTTTCAATTTTAAATTGCTTCTATATTGCAGCCTAGTCCTGGGGTTTGTAAGTCGTGAGAGAGCTGCAGAGTTGTTGATGCAACAGAAATGCGGGACATTCCTGCTGAGGTTCAGTGAGGGCTCACTAGGTGGCGTTACAATAGCTTGGGTGGCAGATGACCCACAAACTTGTAAGTGAAGTGTTGTATTAAGTTTCTCTGTTGCCAGCTGTGTCTTGCACTCACTCCCCCCTCATTCCCTTCAAATACAAAGTGGGGGATATTCATTGGTCAAAGAGGGGAAACTAGATTCTGTGAAATCAAGGCTTTCAAGTCAAGTGATTTTCGAAGTCTTTTTCTCCCCCTCACTAAACTGCTGGCACTGCATCAACTCAATACTATATCATATTGTTACTTGGCAACTTAATCAAAGAATAATTAAGCAAATCTTCTTGAATTTCAATTTTGGTGATTCAGAAATTGATTTGTACATACATAATGTACACAATATTTGATTTTGAGTAAAGACTAACAACTGGTACACTATGGTGCTTCTGCAGATTTTTTTGAACCATTTACCATGTTTACACGGCATTAGGAGGAACACAGCTAGTCCACATCAGTACCATACAATATGGTACTGAATGGTACCGTGCAATACCATAAACCTCAGATTGAGTGTGTATGTACCATATTTCAAATCTGACTTCATGAGAAAATGCTGAAAATAAATCATTAGTTTCTGTTTTGCTTTTTTACAGCTGAAAAAAAGGTTTGGAACCTTGCACCATTTGCTGCGAAAGACTTTGCCATCCGTTCTTTGGCAGACAGAATCAGTGATCTACCTACGTTAAGTACTCTCTTCCCAAATATACCGAAACTTGACTGTTTTGGGAAATATTGTTCAAACCCTACCAATGCCAGTGAGCTAACCAATGAAGGATACGTTGGTCTGGACCTGAGGGCTGTCATCCCAGGGTAGGTGGCAAGATTATGACAATAATGATGAGCTTAGTCATGAGGAAAAGGTCCCTAAAATAATCACATAGTTTTTCTTTTAAAAAAACAATAGGATATATTGTTTAATCAACTGTGTGCTCCTTGTGGACTATGAAATTTTCAAAATTTGCTTTAAGAACCTCCTTGTTCCCAGTAGATTGGTGTACCTTACAGTGAGAGTCCATTATCATATAAGTTGACGGGGAAAGTTCAGGTTATTAAGATGGGTAAACTGTTCTTTGTTGTGTTCTTTACAGAATGGTGTTCCCTCTCTAGGTCAGGTTTTACTGTATCATTATATAAAACATTTGTTTATAATCTGTTGTAAGCTTTTATGGGAATAAGTAAGATATACCAGCACTTTTCTTGAAATCCTAAGTCAAATGTCACAGGTTTTTCAAATGAATAGGGAGAAATGAGGTGAAATTTTGTTTGAAATCATGGGATAATAAATCTACTGATTTTTGAGGGTGTCACATACAAATCATATACTTTCAGATGGGGTGATATTTCCTCTTCAGTCAATATAAAAGAGGAAAATGTTTGTCCTGACTCTACTACAAGCATGATGTCTTGAGGGGTAGGCTTGGGTTGAGGGTAGGGTCTTGAGGTTGTTTTTGTTCACATGTTCTTGTTTCACTGTTATACATTAATGTGGTTAGAATATCTTGGTGGTCCTGATTTCACTTAAAAACTGTTTTTACAGTATATTTAGTTAATTCCTTGCTAATATCTTCCAAATTTTTTATACATATATTGACAAACAACCACTGTGATATTTTATTGACCCAAACTTTGATGTCAGTCTGTTCCAAGGAAAAAATCTTAGAATTATTGATGGAAAATTATTTTAGGATAATATACTTGTCTGTCCATGTCCATCCTTCTGTCAAGAACTTTTGGACAAATGAAAATGGCTCTTCTTCTGACCTACTGCTCATATTCATATGGAGCTCTATATTGGTAATTTATATCATTGGTCCCAGACCCCCCCCCCCCCCCCAGCTCCTACTTTTACCCCATTTTGTAAAAATGAGCTTTTTTACCATGTGAGCCCACCAAATGCTGCCATTTTTATAATAGGATGACATGAAAAATCCAACTCATTTTAGATGTCCTTTTTTGCCCTAAAGGGAATGCAATTTTTATTTAAGGACCAAGGTGTTTTTGCCTATTGACTGCTGGTATTCTAAGGGAGGATATTTTTAATTTGGTATTTTATCAGCATCGCAAATTAATGGCCGAAAAGCCATAAACCTTAGTTTATTGTATCAAGTACAGTGAAGATGTCATAACATCAATCCATGTGTTGTATTTTTGTGTCTCCCAATATTTGCGGAGTTATTTTGGGACAGCCATGTGCAGATTCTTCAAGACATGGGTCTGGTAGATTTGAGTTATTACAATTGACCATTTGGGAAGCTGACTGCCATTTGGACCCATTTCACTCCAACTTAAAACTAATCAAGGGCGGGATATTGTTCAGTTTGTGTTCTGTAAATTTGATAGCGTGTTCTTTTCTGCTGTTTCGGTTTAATTTTCTCAATGTAAGATTACTGTACTCCAAGCATATTTTAACTCATCGAAGATGTATATTATATCTAAAAATTCCTTTCACTTTTAGCTGGCCAGCAGGTGCCGAGGGTATGCTTGACCCCCAGGCTTACGACAACCCAAGTAGCGTCCAGTCACATATTCCTACTGATGACCATAACATTGATGAAGTGCAGATGGATGACATGTTAAGCTTTGGGGATTATGATCAGGATACGTTCATTAACAATGTGACTATGAACCAAATATTGAATAACAATGCGATGAGCCCACATACCCCCAATCTTGGCAATTTTCCAAACTTCCAGAACCTGAATTAAACTGGTAGAATTACAATTTCAGTTAGAGACTGTTACTCAGAGTGTTTCAAATGTAAAGAAATGTATGTTTTATCTTTTCTTATGTGAAACCCTGTATGTGATAGTAACAGCAACATATGGGATGGTGTATGTTTAAATATTATAAAGTACAGTGGAATCACAGGGTGACCGAAAATTGCATCAAAACTCAAACCTTGAAATGAATTATTGTGGCTTCTTAAATTATCTTGTGAAATGCGGTCATACATATATATCATTAATAACTGTAATCAAGAAGTAAGTAATGTTTTCTGTCTAGTCATGCTCTTGTATTAGATCAACCAAAAACATTCAAAATGCAATAATCTGAAATAGAGATTTCAGATCAGGATAAATAATTATTTCTGGATTACTTTGATAAGTATTACCTCTAATTTATCCTATCCATCCCGTTTTTGAATAACTTTTTCAATAATGATTAAGTGGCACATGCCAATTTGGTTGTTATTGACGATGAAAGATTTCTGAATTTGCAATGATTGAATGAATTTGAATGATTTCATAGGAAAGCATGCCTAGATGAAAAAAAATGTTTTCTTTTAAAATTGAAATCCTTGGGTCACCCTGTAAAGTGATATATTGTGTGATTACAGCAGGTAAAGTGACTATGATTCAAGATTCAAAACTGTGATTATTGATTAAGATGAAGAATCAGGAATGTAATTACAATGGAAGAATGAAATCAGCAAGAACCAAAATATAAACATGTAGTCAACATAAGAGAGGTTTCGTACAACATTTTTAGCTCAACATTTAAATTAAATATCGCATCTTTCTGCGTATTGGTTCATTTAAAACGGGATTTAGTTGTGGATATGTTTTAGTTCTAACCCATTGTATGAAACCTCGCTATTATCAATGATAGAGAAATGACAAAAATGAAACAATACATTCAAATTCTCTTATGAATGATTTGTGGGAGCTACCTTGAACCAGAGATGAATATAAAACCCTATGTTAATTCCAGCTTGTATTGTATAAACAGTGAAAGCTTTTTCTTTTTTATGTGATTGTTAAATGAAAGCAGGCATCTCAGCATATTGTGTTAGGGACATTTTTGCAATATTCCCATTCAAATTGGTGCTTTTTGTTCACACTAGTGCAGAGACCACTCTAAAATTACAGCAGTGACCTAGATTCACCAATTTTCACTTTGATACAGGTGATAACTTTGCATGAATTCCTCCCCTGCTGTTTGGCCTGAAAAGCATGATTATGAGATAAAAATGCCTTAATGTTGTGTATATATCGGTATTCTGCCATGATATTTTTGTATAATACTGCAAATAACCATATTAGATATTAGTCATATTACAAACTGCTTTTGATTCATATTTGCAATATAAGTCCATTTTCTACATATACCAAAAATTGTAAAAATGGGTTTGTGTAAAAAACCCGGTGACCGGGTACCCGGTCGACCGGGTACCTAACGTTCCTAGCAGGGTTACCAACTTTCAAAGTTCCACATTTCCCCCGATATATAGTAGCGAATTGACTTGACAGACTTAGCCTACCGAGTGCACTACTGTTCGATATTTTTTACCCTATAACACCCTATGCAGACAGAGCCTGTGGGAAATATTGGGTGCGGCGCAAATGAGCGGAGGGTGCGGAGCTAACGGTCATTTTTGAATTTAAAATTGGGATATTTCTGAAACTAAGCCGTTTTGGGACTTCAAATATACCAAGATATGTGTATTTGACACCAAATATCAATAAAATTGTGAAAATAGTAGTGCAATTCATTTTATAGCGACGGAGTATGCCTTAAACATTTCCCAGACCTATATATTTTGAGACTATCCTTTTAATACTGCGTCCCCAGCATTCATAAAAAATGGTGTTCAAGATACACTACCCATGCAAATTATTTTTGCATCTTGGAAGCCAGGCAGTATCTGTGTGATTTTATAAAAATTCGGAAATGTTCTTCAGATATGAGCCCCTCTAAATATTGGGTGCGGAGCTACGTTTATGGAGCTGCTCCGCACCCAATATTTAGAGGGGCTCATATCTGAAGAACATTTCCGAATTTTTATAAAATCAAACAGATACTGCCTGGCTTCCAAGATGCAAAAATAATTTGTATAGATAGTGCACCTTGAACACCATTTTTTATGAATGCTGGGGACTCAGTATTAAAAGGATAATTTCAAAATATATAGGTCTGGGAAAGGATTAAGGCTCACTGCGTCGCTATAGAATGAATTGCGCTACTATTTTCACAATTGTATTGATATTTGGTGTCAAATACACATATCTTGGTATATTTGAAGTCCCAAAACGGCTTAGTTTCAGAAATAGTCCAAATTTAAATTCAAAAATAACCGTTAGCTCCGCACCCTCCGCTCATTTGCTCCGCACCCAATATTTCCCACAGGCTCTGTCTGCATAGGGTGTATAAGAGACAGAGTACTTTTTAAAATAATCGATCCAGGAAACAGTGACGTCCATGTGAAGTTGCTCATAAGTTGCATATAAGTTCATCGTTGCATATTTTTGTTCTTTAGACGTCGAGGCAACGTAAACATGAGACATTTAATAAAACGTCTATTGATGGTATAAAAAGAACGTTGTTGTAACGTGTTCGTAAAGTTCGTTAGTGTGGAAAACATAACAAGAATGTTTGATTTTCTCACAAAGTCGGTTCATTTCCGACGTATTGTTAACGTTAAAATTTAACGTTGTCAAAACATTTTTTCGATGTGAAATAACCTCAAAACGCGACGTCCATAATGACGTTCATGTACCGTATTGATCTGACGTTAATTAAATATTCAGCAAAACGTCGATGGATGGTATAAAAAGTATGTTGTAGAAACATGTTTGTAAAGTTCGCTAGTGTAGAAAATGTAACAGGGACGTTTCATTTTTACCACATTCGGTTAATTTTCGACGTAACATAAATTTAAACATTGTGGAAATGGCTTCAAAATATTTGTAAGTTAAGAAAACGTTAAGACATTATGTTCTCACTAAATCGATTCTTACGATGTGAAATAACCTCAAAACGTGACGTCGAAAATAACGTACATGTATCGTCCAGATCCAACGTTATAAATATATAAAATTCATAACCCTGCAAGGAACGTTAGGTACCCGGTCACCCGGTTTTTTACACAAACCCTGTAAAAATGTAATAATTTGTTGCCAAATTTAAATTATTGATATTTTGATCCAACAAAATGAGCTAGATACAAATATTAGTTATAGCTTACTGATATAGGAATCATATAATCTTGAGACCTTTTTATTTTAAGTAAAGCTTCCAGAAAAACCTCTCATGGAAAATACATTAGATTTTTAACACTAGTCACTAAAATGTAGGTTTGGCTTAACCTGTAACATTTATAAATTCTCAAATTCATTTCATTTGTATGTCTGAAATTGGTTGGTTTCCAATTTCATCCAAAGACATTGCCTGATTAACTCTGCCTGAGCTTCTTTATTATTCTGTTCTGAACTAATTGAACTAAAACCATGAGTTCTGACTAGTGGGACAACCTAATACTTCTCCACTTGTGCCTTTACTTGACTTTCATGAAGAAAACTATGTGTACTTCCAAATGAAGTGTTAAATGATTCCACAGTATTCAGATTTGTACCATACAGCTAATTATGTTCATGGAATTTATTATATAAAAGATTACTTCAAGATGTACTGCATTCTCAAATTAAAGCAAGATAATGAGCTTTAGATTATGGTACATTTGTAATTTAAAAGAGTCATTCCTCTACCATTTCACAACCATTTTGTACAGTGGGGTATATCGGCTAGTATTACATACCTAGCGAAGAATTTGTATGGAAGTCAATGGAGCTGAAGGTCGGCTATATATTTCTGTATTGCCTCCAAACTTTTCTACCATGACAACTTTATGATGTCATAACATGTAAACAAAGTGATTTCGACTTGAATCGTGTAAAAATATCAATGTCAATATAGCCCGAGCTATGATAGGGACATAATGGCTAAATATTGTATTGGTGAAAAACAATGTGATTGTATAAATATTTAGCTTTTGTATATATTGTTTTTGTGATGCTAATGTATTCATTATATACATTTTTTCACGTACAAATAAATGCTTTTGTACAGTAATGTAGTTAGGCTCTCTATCCTGTGTTTCACATTTAATTCAAGACATTATTTTTTTAGTATGAACATTCTTATTTGAGTATCCTTTTAAATAAAAAAAGTGCAGACTGTTTCGTTTTCAAGGATAAGTATGTGAGATTGATGATTTGTAGATTTAAGTGTGGAACCTATTTTATGGATTGATTTATAATTTTCAGGAGTGTTACTTGGTATGAAAATCTCAAACTGATTAGTTTTTTTGAATATTTGAGATTTGGTGATATTGTTCACTCTGTGCCTTATTGCAACCATGTTGTTGTAATTGTATATCTTGCTGCCACTTGTGGGAGGTGATGTTCTCTATTTGGAATTTGACATTAATGCCATGGTGATAATGAATTATAAAAACATTCAATTTAAATGAGGGTATTTTGTGAAATTTTGAGTACAAGAGTGCTGCATTTTTTTCTTTGATCCTCTCCATGGAGATACTTTTTGTTTGTTTTAGATCAGATACAAAGTAGTTCAAGTCACGGATATTTTTCCAAAAGCCAAATGGTGAGGAAATGGATATTAAACGTTTTCCAAATTGAATGACTTTTATTTTTATGATATATTTTATTTTAATTTGATTTTAATTTAAAACTTGCAATAGAAATTATCATGTTCTAGGACATAACAACTGAGTATTATGAAGCATTATAAATGGAAGTGGTCCTTTCAAAGTTTTGCACTAAGTTCAACATGTAGTCCATATTAGAAGTGCAATTTTTGAAAAAATACAATAAAGTACACTAGAAATATACATTTGTACATGTATTGTATATGCCATTCTAGTGTTTCCATTGTGAAATGTCAAGTTCATATCTTCTAATTTGAGAATGATTTTTGTCTTTAAACCTTACTGTGATTGTAGGTCAAGGGTGCATCAACTTGTGATTGAGATCCAGTCATATAATGGTAGATTTTTTATTGCAGAGAAATATTTTGTATGAATAAACAGTGAATTGATTGAAATGAAATCACGTATGAATATATATATATTTACCAAAGTGTATCTTAGTTTTGTATTTTGTTTGACTATCCAGAATTTCCAAGCTTTCAATCATCGATGTGTCTAATTAATAGCATTTTCAGAAATCAAAAGATATGGAATGAATGCAACTCCAAATTCAATGACCTTTAATTCTACAAATATTGATCTTGACACAATACAGTATGTATGAAAACAACATTCTGTTTTCCGTATTTTCATTTGTATTTGAAAAATATCACATTTCTATTGAAAAGCCAGTCTCAACACACCCATGTTTTTAAAAACGAGATTTCTAAGGGTGAATGTGTGAAAAAAGCACCCAATCAAATCTCATTTTCCAAAATTTCTTGGAGGGAGGACCCACCCAAAACCCACTGCTAGCTTGGCCTGCGTCTTTCGCCATTCAGATTTAATTTCAAACATAGACTAATAATAAGTAGACCATAACATGGTACCCAATGGGGAATCAAGGTTTCAGTATGGATGTTACACTACCCTCCATAAGTTTGGCAACTGGAAGTTGTCTGACGGTATTTGAATCTTAAATTTGTTCCTTTATTATCCCATCGAACGTAGTTCATATTTGGTGAATACTTTAAGCATGGCACACAGTGTAATGACACTTTTGGTAGAAGGCACCCATTTTGAAAAATGGCCACCATTTTAACGTATTTTACTAACTGGAAAAGTGGGACGGTTTTATTCATATTTGGTATGTGAATACTATAGGCATGGCACACTATCTAATGACACTTTTGGTAGAAAGTAGCCATTTTGAAAAGTGGCTGCCATTTTGCTATATACTTTGTAAAAATAACAGCTGTTCGATGAGATTTGCTATGCTTTGGCATTGCTGTTGTCTAGTTGCAAGTAGAGGACTGATGATAAATTTAGATTGCCAAACATAACAGACTTCGATAAGTGATTCAAAGGTGAGCTTCCAGTTGCCACACTTATGGAGGGGAGTGTATCTCAGGATTTGAACAACTAGATCCCCCGAAAACTTCAACTTTGTGGTGTATCCGAGTCATTTGTTTGTTTTTTGATAATGACTACATCAACATGTAGATTTGTGGAAAAGGTTTTATGTGTCCCATTCTAACCCTCATGTGGCAACTTAGCTGTATGTCCTTGTTTCAATTTTCTTTGAAAGAATATTATATCAAACTAAGATCATATTTTTTTGTTATAAATTTATTTTTATTGCACATATACTGTACAATATCATGTAACAAGTATAACAACTTGAAACTTTTCCATATCAAACTGGAAGAACTTTTCAACATAAAAAATTAGGAAAACTACAATTACTAAATGTTTATAACAGGTTGTGCCTAGCTAAAGTATTGTGAGGACAATCCATTAAAATCAATTATTCCTCCCCATTATTTCTGTTGCATGTGGCACTCTACCTTGACTAGCAACATGTCTTTTTTACATGTGATTTCTTATCACAATAATTCAATTCAATTTTGAATCCTATGTTGATTGTTGGGCCATGTTTTAGAACTTTCACACTGGGCTTAAGCATGATTACCATTTAATTGTGTCGATAAGATTGTCACCTCAACAACACAAGGCTAATAAAGCAACATCATGTGAATGTTTGCGTTAATTTTTTTTAATATTCTTAGCATTCTGCCAGTTCTCAAAAACATGTTATTTTGGAATGGCAAAACATTGTTCAAATTCAAAGCATTGGTCTGGATGGGTAAGTGTTTTGATCACGAAACCCAAGTGTTCTAGTTCTATATTTCAGTATACTAGCATACTATATATCACTTTATCGATCGATCTACTATCTTACACATTCTAGATCCTTAAATATAAACAACTTTATTAAATATGTACAATGTCTTAAATAAAAATAAATTATGTAATTATTTTATATACACTATATACTTAATATATGATTTTTCAAACATACCCTGAACAATGATGAATTTTATCAGTGTTGACTCATTGAAAAGAAATGATGATAAAAGGATGATCAATGCAGAAATGACAATAAATGCAGATGATGACAAAATGATGATAAATGCAGAAATGATGATAATAGTTGTTCAAGTGAAATTACTAATTTAATATTTACATACATGTGTATTTTATATACAACGGTGATTGTGTGAGGCAAGAGATAAATACATTTAATATTTCCAGTTGTATGGAATTCACAATAAAGGTGGAATTCACAATTAAGGTGGAATTCTTTCATTTTTTGCTAAATCAGCATAATTTTACATGTGTACTTTACATGTTCAAAGTTATTAAACTTCTACATTAATATTTTACATTTTAATTAGGAATTCATCTAATGACTAACTGACTCCTTTGTCATTCATACATGAACATGGACTAGGTTAAGTATTGCTTAGTATTACATACATCCTCAATCGATTCATATTTTTATCTAAACTAATCATTGCTTCATATGCTTCATGAAGGAAGATGATGAAAATTCAAAACTAACAAGATGAAAAAAAGAAAACTTAAGCTAACTAAAGCTTTGTGGTATTTAAGGCTGATACTGTTTTGGTGCACCATTCAACTGAGCTTAAAATCTGACTAACTCGTAGCCTCCACAGCATCACCATTTTCTAATTTCATGGAAGATGGACTACCGATACCACTTTCTACATCCCCATCATGGTCCTTTGTATCTTTCTCCTCGATATTTGTGGCTTCTGTTTTGATTTTAGTTTTTTCTGCATCTTTTTCAACTTCACGATTCCACTCAGACTGTTCGTCAACTTCCTCTTCATCCTCAGGCTGCATCCCAATCAGTTCAGTGGCAAAATCATCCATGCCATATTGTTGAGCAATCCGAAGGCCCTCATTAAACAAGCTCTTGTTTACAAACTGTTTAGTGTCTTCATTGTTATTCTTGACTGGTACGCCAAATAGCTCAGAGGGTGTGTCACCATTGGTTGGGGAGGATTTTTCAGTGTTGAAGCTGTCGTTGGTGCTAGGTGGTATCAGTGGTTTAGTTTTGGACTGGAGATACCTGACATAATAGAAAGGACATAAGACTATATGAAGAATAATGTAACACTCGTTTGACACATTGTACAAGGAATATTACACCGCTGCCAATAATTATGGAACATTTGTGAATTAGACTAAATTATTTCCCTGGTTCCAATACTCTAAAAGTCCAACTAATGGAGCTTTATAAATATTCAGACAACTCAGGAAAAGTTAAGCTAAACAACCAGCTGAACATTTTTGCTTTTTTATTTTAAACATATAATTCTGAGATCATCATATTCACAACCATTGTTTAATTACTTTACACTCTCTATCTTTTGCTGCCATTGTAATAATAGGAAGACTCTAAGATTCTACCTCTGTGATCTCTTCTGCTTCCTTGTCAGGTCGCTCTCTTCTGTTAACAGTGTTAGATGTTTGGAAGTGAGCTCCTCTAGTTGACTCTGGAGCTGATGTATCAATGTATAATTCTCCTCTTCCTTAGCATCTTGGACCTGCTGCTTCAGTGCCTCCTGTTGCTCGGCAACCATCATTAATTCTTGTTTGATGGCTACGAGACGAGTCTATGGAAGGAAAGGTAATGGTCAATTTTGAGTTTGGGAATGTGGGCTTAGTTTACGGAGTTTTCAGTCTTTCTGATGTTTCATTACTCATTACAGAATCTTAGGTAAAAATGGGTGGAACTATAAAATGAAAGACAGAATATGATATTTTACTGCTAAATTTCCCCATACACGAATATAAAATGAACTGGTACTTCAATCAAGAATATCTCTGTTGACTAAATATAAAACGTAACCAAACATGCCACAGTAACCATGGTAACATCACACTACCTCTCTCTGAAGTTTATCCGTCTCTGCTTTGGATGCTTTCTCAGCACTATCTAGACTTGTGTCCAATTTTTGCCTTTTATTTGCTGGTGTCAACATTGGAGGATCTGCGCTAGCTGCCCTACTGAGAAAGTAGAAAATTAAGAAAAGCTAGATTAGGGTTATTTAGCATGCATTGTGCAAGACAAACCAGTATCACTACAAATTCATGCATATTCGTTATCCCTTCAAAATCCAATTTGTTTAACTTAGAACTGATTTACAAAACTGCTACTATAGTCAATTCATTTCATAATTTTCACAAATTGTTATATTGGTACAATGTTAATGCGAGTATCTATAAATGTTTTAGTGATTAATCGCAGTTTTGAAAATCAAATCCAAATCTCCCATATTCTCCTTATTGTTTGCATTCACAAGATTTCTTGGGATAATAGAAATGGTCATGAGAAGGTCTTGAGCAGGGACTTTCTTGGCAGACATTTTACCACCAAGCTATCTTATGAAATTGTAGACAAACTTATGCAATATACAATGGCTAATGCAAAACCACATCCCACATCCGGTAATTGCATACCCCACATACTTACTTAATTCTTCACAAAAAACATCAACCAGAGCAGTTTTTAAAATAATCCAAAATTAAATTCCTGTTTGTTTATAACAGTCTTATTTTAGAGTATAAAAAAATTAATACGTTTTTCTGTTTAACGTACATGACTGATAAAAAGGAGTCCAATGCTAAATAATTGAAAAAACAAGGCAGTGAAAAAAGAAAACTGGTCGTATGCTACACTACAATCTAAAATTGTTGTAAAAAGCAAAAGCAATAATATTATTACTCAGTTCACACTACACAGGCATGCAGATTATTAGCATTTATAGATGTCCCTCCCATGCTTACATCTTTTTAGTATTCATTTACTAGCATTCCACTGTTTTTCATTTAACTTTCCATATTTGGACAAACAAAACATTTTTGTTATGTTAGAACTTAGTATTCTACAAAACTAAGATTAAGATTAGATAAAATGTTAGAACATACAATAAGGCAAAAGGCAAATGATACACATCATACATCACAAAAAAGAATGAAAACTGTATACATAATTATTGTTTAATGAAATGGAACAATTCAGCAAAACTGAGAAGCTTAATGATACTACTCTATTAGAGTAGAAAATTACAAATATGGGCATAGCTAGGCATTAGGCAGTCAATATTTTATAGATTTACTTATTGAGGCAATCTTTTTAAATGAAACCATGAAAATCAAGTGAAATGAAAGTAATGTATTACTTCATCTCAAATTTACCTTGCCTATATTTTGCCTCACCTATCTAAATTTGCCTCCTATTCTAATTTGATATCCTAGCTATGCCTCTGATAAAGCACATTCAAATACTGATGAAAACATTGAAAGCAAAATATTATGTAATGATGGGAATACAATGATAAACCATGAAGTATGCATCATCATAAAATCTAAGGGATGAAACAGATTTGAGAAAAAGCAGGAAAATGTTAAAATTAACTAGAGCATTAGATATAAACTTATAATAGAATAGGGCGTCCATTGCACTGATTCAAAATGGTGAGTTTGAAACAATGACAATTGGACAGCAAAAAAATATAAAATAGTGAACACATTTGCAAAAATCAAATTCACTTTAAAACTGTTGCTCTGTTCTTTGAATTGGGAATTCTCAGCCAATCAAACCACAGCAATGGGCAGTAAGAGGAAACAATACCAGCTTGATTCATACCTTGAATGACCTTTGGAATACTGGTAGCCACTGTCACGTACAACATCACGTGCCAGGGGGAAGAGCTCATCTCGTCTCGTCAACAGGGATGGCATGTGGATACAAATCTGTGTGGCTGCCTCATTTACTGATATCTAAAAAATGTTTGAAAAACTTAGGAAATACATAAAATTTTGTTGTGCAACTTTTAAAGGGGAAAATAATATAATTGATTAACAATTTAGATCATCAATGATTACTAGTAAATCATTAATACTGACTTACCTCATGCAAGGACATAGGTTTGTCGTTCTTGCGTTTTGAATCGAACCGACCATATATAGCAGAGTATTTCCTGATTTCATCATTTCTAATTGGATCATCAACATCCATGTTCATCACTCTCTACAAAATACAAGCATAAAAACAGTGCTACCATCTTTCAGAAATTCAAAATTTCAAAAAGCACACAGAAATATCTCAAAGCATGTATCACAGTACAGTAGGAAAGGCCAGCTGCGACATATGTGTCTCATACTGGCAGGTAAATGCAGCAAAAATGAGATAACAGTCGTAAAAGTAAAATTGTCCATTCTGATGTTCGACTGTCTCTGCGATGCAAAGTATGCTCTGGTAGATTTCTCTTCGATTTGAACTGACAGGACTTCATTATAATGCCATTAATATACTTAAGTGCCATTAGTGATATTGACCAATCAAGGTGCTGATAGAAATTGCTGTGTCTCTTACCTCTATATCTCGACATATTTCCTTCCTCATATTCATGGGCTTTGGGGCATATGGAGGCAAGGTCTTGATAAGAGATTCAGCTGCATCTTTGATAGACTTCACCTGGGTCTCTGTTAGTGATGGATGCATGGAGAAGGAGGTCATCTGTGGGGGGTTGGGCGATCTCTTACCACTCATCTTTGGAGTGTCCTGTTTATGTAATTGAAATGGTAAATTAATGATGTGATAATTCATGATATTCTAGAAAGATAACAAAATTGAATCTCTTTTTGTAACTAACTCCCCGTTGAAGGCTGAAGCTGAATTTTCATTGTGCTGCAATCCATAACTTGCTTTAATGACGACTGTGATTTTAAGTTGTTTCAATAAAATCTATTCAAAAATAAACATAATTCATGTGATGGACCTGTAGTGAATCACACATACCATTGGTTGGGAAGCATCTATGACGATTGTATTACTAGAGTTATAAGCGCTATCTAAGCTATCAGATCCAGGACTAGTTGAACGTAATATTGACATTGCATCACGCGCCACATTCTCTATGGATGAAGCTGTAGGTGGGGTCCAGACATTAGATGTGACGGGGCTAGGACATCTGTAGGTGACCACCTGTGGGGGAGGACGCTGACCCCCTGGTAAAGAGCTCACCGTGGTTGGTTTAGGTAGCTGTGTTTTACCTGTAGCGATTGGTTGCTGGAAGACAGCTGAAAAACAATGATAAAATTAATTATTTTTTCATGATGAATCAGTTTGTATACCATAGTGTTTTACAATTGATCATTCTTATTTTTAAGTTGATTGTGCTTCTTGTGGTTTTCATTATTGCCAATATATCAGTAGCTATATAGTGGATAAACAGAAAGCAGAGGTGTTTTGGTCGGGGATACATTACACAAAAAATCGTCACGTGTCACATAATTTCCTGATCTAAGTAATGATCATGATCCAAAACTATGTGTTGTTCATCCTTACCTGGATTAGTGACCCACTCCTGCAGTGCTTTCTGAAGACGCCTCACATGTAGAGGTTTACTGGCCATTCCAACGAGTGCCATTATTTCCAAGAACTCCTCTTCCCCCGCTTCACACAGTTGTTGTACATCATCTCCACCTATAGAGGAAATTATGAACTAATGTTACCCTGAATCCAAATTGGCTATTAACACAACCCTCTGACTATTACATAAGATTATGCAGTTTAATGCATAAGAAGATCTCAATGAGGTCAAATGTTTGACAAACTGAAACAAATTGACCTCAAATCAATAATTTTGGACATGAGATATGCTTGCAAACCAGATGAATAGAATCCTGTCTTACCTTGAGATATAAAAGTGTCGTAATATTGTAGGAGGTTCGCACGTTGTAACACCCTGTAGAGCTGCAACTCTGATGCTGTACTAGGGCTGGCCATAACCTTCTAGGGCTATATATTGTTTACCAATAACACTGGAAAGGAAAGCACACAAATGTAGTTTTATTTTATTCAAGACCCATTTTCAATCTGAATATTTACATGAATAGACTCTGTACATGGTCTTTCCCTCGAAAGCCCAAGATGAATATTTAGAGGTCTGGTGAAATGGATAATATATATGTATTTGAGATTGAACAAAGATATAACATAATTTATATTTTCTTCATACATTTTAATAATAAAGAAAGTAATATGATGAGTTGTCATTGACTGTGTAATTTCTCTTCATTGGTACATAGGTAGGTGCTGCCATCTTTCAATTGAACAAAATGTAAACGTCACGTGATTTCAAAATGGGAGTACCATTTTTCATTTCCTGTATTTTTCAAAACGGAATTTCCAGAATTATCTGCGTTTATGTTACTCGTGTATAAAACATTGATTTCACACGGATTGTGTGGTTTCCCTACCATTCTATTTTATTTATATAACGACAGAATATTATTTCAAACATTACATATCAGTAATAAATATGTAAAAAATTACAAAATATTAGACTTTTACTCTGAATTGATTTAGATCTATCATTTCATTGACTATCCGATTAGATAGTTCTATAAAAACATAATTATCACTACATACTACTCGTCCTATGTGTCCATATGTTCTTTGAACAGATCTTCAGACAAGAAATATGAATTCACTGTGACTGAGATCTTGGACAGGCAAACTATAGCTAATCTTGTTCCAGCTTATGTTCAAATAAAATCTTGAAGTATTAGATCTATGGCATATATCCTCCTTATTTATCCATCTTCAAAATGTAAACAAACTTTTTATACAGTGATAAAAGTACAAAAATGTCAGAAGTACTCACCCACAAATATGAGAAATAGGAGTGAAATAAATCCGATAAAATATCCGTCCGTTCTTTGTGTGGGTGCCTCGTGTACTAACTAGTCTACTTCCCTACCCTGGATGCTCACGTTGGGTGGGGGGACGAACTGACTGTTTCCATATATGGAAATACATGCTACGTCACCACTGCTGGTCCCACATCTGATTGGTTTGACTACCCCACGTGAGCAGCTCCGGTCGTGGGTAGGCACCGTATGGCTCTGACGTATATCCCCTGGAGGGCGTGGGGTATATTTGATCGTGCATCGGCTGCATAAATAACAAAGGCCACTGGCTCAAGTCCAAGGGGAGCGAGCTAATCATGGCTAAGCCAGGCGGTAACCACAGCGTATCGATCCGTGTTTGTGCACATGTTTGACTCTGAGTAGCTAAGGTATAACACGGTCCCACGATGAACTCAACTACCCCCGAGTGTGCTGAGATAAGTGCCAATGCAAACTAACGTGTCAGATAAGGCCGGTAAACTGTTGTACTCTCAACGCTTTGTAAGGGCTAAATATCCCCCTGTAAACACCATATTGGCAAGTAAACCTATGGTATAAAGTCCATGTACAAAGTAGACTATCAAGTTCAGCCATGTTTAATTCATCAACTCATCGCATTGAGTCATTTAAAATTACCACAAGCAATTATTGTCCTCCAGAGAAAAATTAATAATATGTGACCTCTCATGGTATTTAATAAATAAGCAGATGTACTAAACTACGTTTGTAGGTTTTACCTACAAGAAACTTACACGGTTTATTGAAAAAGAATATTGATTTATGGATGAGTGAATTATAAAAATGATGATGCCCAACCATGCGTGACTAGTTGTCAACCTGCCATGAACATATCATAATGATGACTGATCAATGATCATACGCCTACACAATCTGTAAATTGTTCATCTTTTTGTCTGCTATCTAAGTCATATACACCCTGATATACATTATTTGGTGCCCCGGCGAGGTTCATGCCCGGTGTTACAACTTTTACTGTTCACCGGGAATATACTATCTATTGAACGAGTCATAACGTTACAGATACCACCCGTTTATTCCACCAGCGTCAAACTGAATTGTTGTACATATTTGTGGTTGGTCAATGTATAAGGGAGGGGGAACAAAAAAAACTCAAGGGACGCGTAAAATAACACCCCTTTAAAATTATAGCCTAATAAGGCATAGTAAGAGCCATACTGATGGGGGGAGGGATCGTGTGTTATTAATCTAAAACAAATTCAAATGGGTCACGAAATATGAACACCAGAGGACAGCTCGAGTCAGACTGACATGATACGAGGGTGACCTAAGAGTTATGGGTACTTGGTGACACCCGAGTGATCCATCCCCGCCACATACATCCGTGCCAGCGTTGTTATTTTACACTTTCATATCCTCTATTTTAAACAACATCACCACCCGGAAACCTTTGGGTTAAGTACAGATTTACCACAACGCGAACAAGGCAGTGAGCTAATCTAAACGCGGTCGGGGACCTTATCCCCTATCTAAATAACAATTTATCAAAACTTCCCTAGCCCCCATTCGGTTACGCCATTTACTTAGGTTACATTTGTAAAATATATTGACATTCTTTGCCTATAAGTTACGGCCTACAAATTACGGGGAATAAAAAAAATTGTGATTGCAGTCAAGTGCAGACGCTACAGACTGCCGGGGTTCAACCATATATTCCGAATAGAACGACGGGGATAAACTGTAGTATGATGTTCAAGCAATTAATTTTGTCGGACAGACAGTGCACGAAATATTAAAAATGACGGCTCTCCCCATTTCACCCCACTCCCAAGTTTTTATCAATAGATCTGGGCAATAGATTAACATTGAATACAAGAATAAATCATACATTGCTAGTTAATGATTAAAATCTCGCCAGGAAACAAAGCTGACTTCTATGATCGACGGGCTGGGTTGTTCCTTTGTCAGTTTGGAGTGTGGCATGAATGTTTGGCAGACCCAGCTGTTACAGGACTCCCGCGGGGTTACTATTTTCCGCCGCACCCACAAACATCGTTCCCTCGCAAACAGCAGGTGGGGTTGACAGTTGTAGCCTTTGTTTGAATTGGTCTCAAATTTTGCTCTCAATAGCTCTCACCGCGAGTTGCTTGCGTAAGTTTAGTATCTTCTCTGTATCTTCATCACAAAAAAGCAACGACGTGCTTTTCATTTGCAAGCAATCTGAGGGTCATGATTAGGCTATAATCACAAACTATTTTTGTTCCCCTCGTTACGACATGAAATCGCTCGGGACATGTAAAAACATATAAAAACTCATAAACAAGGAAATAATAAATAAAGAATAAACAAACACACAGGCTAAAAGACATCACTGAAAAACATCCAAATAACAATGTCACAATGTCACTGTCTGAAATGATTGTGGTCGATGTAAATTGTAAAATGTTAATCAAAGAACATAATCCGCTCTAACGATAGAAAACGAAGTATGTGATATTTTAACACACTATTGGTTGTCACGGATCACTAGTCTTTTTTAAATTTTTTAAGAGTTTTATATTAAGGTAGTAGGCTAGTATTTTTCAGTCGTCAAGCCGGCCATATTTCATATTCATATCATTATTATTAAAAATGATCAAATCATTATTTATTGGGCTATGGTGGTGCAATGATTAGTACTTGATTAGTACAATTTTTTCTGAGTTGATGCATGGTGACATCACCATTATTCTATAAATCATTGTTATGGATTGTTATAAGTATCTCCTCCGCTTATGCGCCATTTGTAAATAAAATTCAACAAGACCTTCAAATGTAATTGAATGACTCGTTTCGTTTTTATTTCGGAAAACACATGACTACTTTAGTACTAGATACAGTATTAAGTCTTTTTAAATGGGTTCGTGTGAAGGGCATATGTTCGTGGGCGCATGATCAAAATAAAGGACATAAAAATACATTTACCCACAGGAAAAAAGTATCGGTATGTGATGTGAACTACAGTGTTTAGAGGTGCGGTCAAAAGGGCAATAATTTGCAATTGGCAGGCAGTCGTGAGTTTTGAGTGTCCCGGCTGTCACCCCGACTCCAACACAGAGAGCATTGAACTGACGTGACCCCCATGGTTACATCTGGGCTCGAATGCTGATAGGGGTGCTATCCACACACAAAATGTGTTACACAATGTATAGATAATTTTTATTAAGGGATGAGGTCAATATTTCAAAGCTGTTACCGACAACATAAAATGTTCAAATTGGACACCTTTCCTTCCCCCAATGTTATTAAAACATTTAATATTATTTGCCAATACATTTTGACTTTCATCCACTTCCCTTAAAGTCCATAATTAATCATTAATTCTATCTGTTGGCGAACATTGCTTCATTGACATTGTCCCTTAATGAGTAAATTCAACCCGAAAGTAGCTATGTAGCATGTAGCCAACCCCTTGTAAAACTAGACGAGGGTGGTGGTAGGTACTTTAAAACTTTGGTGTTTACTTACCAAAAGGAGAACATGATATACGTGATAAAAGAAGAGGTGGCTATTGTAACATACTGTAGCATACATTGGTTCCCAGGGGATCATATATTTACCCGTACATTTATAACATACAGCATCGCAAAATGACTGAGAACACATTATGGATTTTGAAGCACCCCCCCCCCCCCGGAAAGCACCACACCATCTACACTCCCAAACTAATATGCTAACTTGAAATGGTGTATGAGGCGATTTCATCGTTCTGTTTTCTTTGACGTTTATGCCTTGGTCACATTTGCTGCGATTCATCGGCCAGCGCCCGGTCGATTGAGTATTTTGTTCAAAATTGAATACATTTCTGAACAAAATACTCAATCGGCCGGGCGCCGTAGTGAAAATCGGAGCAAATGTGACCAAGGCATAACTCGCTTGATTGATCTATTGATTGAATGCCTTATTGATTGACTGTCGCACTTTTGGCAATGTTCTGTTTGCAAGTATGTCCTCTTATGTGGATATCGGACCATCATGACCCCGACGCGGCCTAATTCCACAGTCCCATTGATATCATTGTCGCAGCTGGCAATAATTAACCAAATGACAAAATCACACTAGTTAACTTATAGTAATAAATAGCGCTTACGCAACCCCTGTCGCTTATGGTAATTATGAAGGGGGACAACTGATTGATAATGAGCTTGATGCACAGAGTGTTCTGTCCTAGCATAGCAGGTCATGTAATTATTTTTCATGCATTCTGATGCTCGTCGGTCGCCACATATTTCTGTTTTCAAAGATACACTCCCTGCAATAAGTTTGGCAACCTTATTTCCCCATAGGTTATCGAACTTATGGGAGGGAGTGTAGTTACAGGGGCGGATCTGGGAACCAACAAGGGGGGGGTCCAAATTTCAGGTTTGCGCGGAAAAAAATTTTGGGCCCCTAAAACCCAAAAGTTGGCCCAAATTTTGAAATTTTAAAGCCCATTTTCTTCAAAATTTGGCCTGAAATTAAGAAATAAGGCCTTTAAAGGCCCAGTTATGACCAAAAAGGCCCACTTTTTGGGGCCTTAAGGCCTTTTTTGGCCCAAAATTTTTTTTGGGCCCAATTTTTTTTTCTGGGCCCACCCAAGGGGGGGGGGCGGGCCCCCAGCCCCCCCCCCCCCCTAATCCGCCAGTGAGTTACTATATTGAAAGAGGTTTGTGACCTATCATAATGATTTTCATGTATTATTTTGAATTATATTGGTTTATTTATATTGATTTATTATTTTCATTATTATGAGCTTTATTATACTTGTATCCCACATTTGGGCAAAGTGTACAGCTTAAACAGAAAAAAAAGAAAAAGCTTAACTAATTATCTATATAGTATATTAACTAATCAAAGGGTGCTTGATCATTGCAAGATTTTATTGGATGCATTTCGTGTTTTTTTCTCTCTCGATAAAAATATTAGATATATATTTTGCTAGTATATTTAATATTATTCCCTCTGAATTATATTGGTTCAGTACATCAAATGTAGAGTATGCTATCTGATCTGAAGGGGGCTTCTCTTTCGCTGTTTCGGGAGACGATCATCAATGATATATAAAATTGATGTGGCTATTGAAATATTGTGACATCGCATGTACATACAACAACCCCTTCTGTGTGTTTTACTTCAGGATTGTACTTTGAAGATATCTCACATTCCACGAGCCTACAAAATGACCTGGCCACGTATCCCAGTACGACTGACTCAAAGGAATGTGTATAAAAAACTTGGCAACACTGAAATCTAGGCTTGGCAGGCAGGCTTGTGGGTTGATGAGGATAACGTTGGTTTGAAATATGAGTTAGGAGCTTACTGTTCCCAGCCTTACATCTCCCCTGGAGTCTATAGGGAGAAACATTTATAAAGCACACATCCATACATCATAAGCATAACCCATGTATTTAGTATTAAATTGACTGTTAACGCACCTAAGCAATTTAAATGTAAAATATAAAATGATGAAATTGTAAAACGTATTTTAAAATTGAACACGATCATCTTCACTGAAAATAGAATTAGATAATTGTATAATTTAAGTCTTGTATAAAAACCGTACGTCTAGGTACAGTGAACACTAGGTGGAAAGTGCGATC